GTGCTGTGTTTACCGATTGTCCGCTTGGCGCCGTCGCTCATAGATTGTGGCAACATTTCTTCGGGGGAAGGAGAGCGGGAACGAAATGAGCAGCGAAGTGTGCAGCAGCGCGAACGGTTTCAGCAACCGCCGTGAGGCCTCTATCGCCTAAAGTTCCACTGCGTCGAGCGCTTCAGATTCCCTTGCGAAAGAAGAGCAGATCGCTCGCCTGGAAAGCCACCACGGAGAACAGAAGCTACAGCTCCGCTGCTCTTCCTTCTTCACCAGAGTGGAAAGGCTAAAAGTTTTTTGCATATCAATTAAGTTGCATCACAAGGTGCATAACGGAATGCGGTGGCTTGTGCTACATGCGCCAAAAACGAAATGTTTGCTAGATAACGCCCTACCTTTGAACTCGGTACCTTCAATTATCGCAAAGTTTATAAAAAAAATGGCAAAACCATTGTGAGGTGGTCGTACCTCACTGCCATATTTTTTTTCCCTCTTAGAGCCGGAGTCCCATTGCTTATACATCATACAATTGCAAACAGATTCGAATGCGAGTCACCATGAAATCTGAGCTTCGAATGCTGCATGGCAACGAGTACAAGGAGACAAGCACGTTGCCAGGATTTTATTTCGGGGGGGGGCGCGCAATTGGCCGGCCGGCCGCCTGCCCGGCCGCCGCCCATGACAAAATGCTGTATGGGGGGGAGGAGGGAGAGGAGGGTCCTAGCAAAATGGCAGATTTCGGGGGGGGGGGGGGGGGGGGGGGGGGGATCGGGCCGGGCCGGGCCGGGCCGGGCCCCATGGCCCCCCCCCCCCCCTTGGATACATGCCTGCAAGGAGACACTTGGCATGCAGCATTTGAACCACGGAAGTCGTGGTGACTGATATATGCAGACCGTCTTTTGTATAATGAAAAAGCAGTGTGACCCTGGCCTAAAGGTGCTTCTAGGAGAAGCAAACACCGTAATATGACCCATAAAAATCGCTTAATATATGTTAGAAATATTAAAAGAAGGACAACACGGACTGCACTAGATAGTACCCAACCTCGTGCTCGGGCTCAAAAGGCTATGTAAAACAACGGGCTGAGATTAAGAAAAAAGAACAGCATAATAACTTTTATTTAGGGAAATTCAAATTTTTTATGTACGGAGCTAAATTATTTTTTGGCTTTTTATACGTGCTACAGATTGCAGTCAAATATATCACAGGGCGCACGTGTAGTGCTAGCCACCGCATGTCCAGATGAATATTTCAAATTAAATCAGCATCGCAACTTGTCCATCTGCTTCCTTAGAACAGTGTTTCACCGTTCTACCACAAGATTGAAAAATCTCTAAGTAGAAGCTGCAGTAACTCGACGTAACAGGACTTTTCCTTGGACTCTTTTCCGTGGAGTCAAGTTAAAACCCCTGAAACGGCAAATTCGATGCCTGGGTTGAAAGCGCCTCCCCGCGTAGAGACATCCTATTTTTCCGCTTCTCCGGCCGTCCCACTCCGCCCGAACGGGACGGCCAGAGAAGCATTCGCGTGCTTTGGGGGCTCCTCCGTCTCAGAGGCATGGCCTCCGAGACGGAGGTCATGCAAAAGGTGACAAGTAATATGCTCCAGTATCAAAGAGGAACCCTCAGTCATTATCAAAGATTAAGTTATTTAGCGATGCAATCACTTTTTAATTTTCCAATGCTGTGATAACAGATGTAGACATCTGCTCCAGAAGGATCAGTGCCTGCTCTAAACCAATGTTTTGCATGCTACAGAACCTGTTAGAAGAGGTTAAATGCCACTTCCATCACTATGTGTATTGTGTTTAGGAAAGGTAGAGAGTACAAAGACTGATATGAGCAGGGTGTGAGAGCGTGGACGGTGTTGGCAGCACCGGCAGGCCCAGCTGGAGAGCGAGGTGCGGGGTCAGCGGGAGCGGCTGGACCAGGAGCGCCAGAAGAACGCCCACCTGGACGAGGAGGTGCGCAAGCTCCAGGAGCACCGGGACGTCCGCAGCCGCCTGGACGTCCTCCGCCAGAAGCTGGCCTGGCTGGTGAGCCCCTTTTCTCCACAGACACTCGGATGTCGAGCTGCCTTTCCGTCTGCAAGGACCGGGGAACGGTGCCAGCTCCTTTGCAGAAAAATTGCGCGGACAAACATGCGACGTGGTGCGAATGGACAGCATCAGCTGGTGCGACATTTCAATGATATTGCATACCTGCCAAGTTTTACGATTTTATCATAAAGTGTCCGCTTTTTAGCGCTTTCTTACGGTTATCGTATTAACAATATTTGTACAATTTTCCGCACCTCGCGTAAAAAAAAAAGTTTTTGTTTCCCTATTTACAAGTAGGGGTTGGCAACACTGGTACATTGTCTTGTATGCCAGGAGGCGCAAGCTACCGCTTCTCGTTGTGAGGCAATTGTCATTAGTGATGGGACAGTACATAGAAAAAATACAACTGACCACATTCGCGAGGTTTGCGACAAGGTTCACGCTGCCATCTGCAACCAGCGATGAATCTCCGAATCTGCCAAATATTCGTCGCAGAAAGTTTGGAAATTTCCGAATCTGTCCGAATCCGAATCTTCCTTGATTCGTCCCATCACTAATTGTCATTGAGGTCAGTGTGGTATAGCCGCTAACATCCATCCATCCATCTTAATCCAAAACTGTTTAGGAAATCTCCTTTGTTGTGGCGAACGTTGTGCGTTGCGTTACTGGAACTTTTACTCATGATCCCTTGAAACCATCTTTGCTAAAACATGGCGGGGAAAAAAATACTTACAAGTGTTCATTCCCAGCTGTTCAATCGACTTTTCATTTATGAAGACGTCGCGTAAAGGCGAAAGGTACGGATTTGGTAGTCTGTCGCTGCGATATCAACTTTTCGCACGCTGGTCGCCGGGACATTTTGTGTCATCTGAATACAAAAAAAGCTCAAGGACTCTGCAAAATTAGTTGAAACTAACAAGAAGCTTGGAGGGTACTTTAGTAGATCAACGGATTACGACACTACCCGAACAGAATGCCTTTTTACGGCATTTTTGATCGAACACAACGGGCCGTTCACTGCGGTTGTTGTGGAGACGTTAAAGAGCAAGAACTTTGCCCTTTAACATCTTCGTTAAACCAGGCGCAGGCAAAAGGGTTTTCAGCAAAGTGAAGGAGGCACACTTGCAGTTCCGCTCCTCTATTTCGAAAAAGACTTGAACAGTCGTTAGTTGTGAGATGCAGCCAGTTCAGAAAGTGCCATGAACAAGTGTTTGACAAGAACTTCCTAAGAAAGGCAAAAGCTGCAACTTCCTCAGAGTTGGCCCAACCTTCTACTTCTGAAGAATAAGACATTTTGTGCAATGATGTGTTCGTGCCCTAGTTGAGGCATTTTTCTTACCTAAACCAAGTTTTCGAAGAATAAAACAGTTTTCGTATTTCTTCACTCAATTGTAGTGTTTTTTGGCATCCCCTGTAGTATTTTCAGCATTGTAGGATTGGCAGGTCTGATATTGCGCCGTGATTGAAAAGAAATACCGGTGATGTTGCGTCGCACGGTGTCTCGCGGAAACCACAACCGATCACACGCAGAACAGCTAGCACCAAAAAACTATCTCTCAGATGCGCTGTACAAATAGCTCGGTCGTACTGGCGCGTCCATTCTTCGCTCGGTGACATTCTCTTCTATGTGCCGCTTCACGTTCACGCGCAGCATGATCTTTACGTCGAATGCCTTCCATCGTAACACCCAGGGTGAGGCCATCGATTCATACACATCGACGGCGTAGTCTCTCACGGGCGCGTTTACGCCATCGAGCACCCGCTGCTTGCTCTGGCATATGCTTTGGTCGCCCCATTCTTGCGCGCAAAGGCTTAGGGCGCCCCGGAAACGGGTGACCGCGGAAGAGCAGGTGTCGAGGAGCTCATTACATTTCCCCCACCACAATAGCGATTGGCCGAAAGCGCCTCAACCGCGACTATTATCAGCGGCGAGACTGCTCTACTCGCCCTCTCCCAGCGCCAAAGCCACCTGCGATAAACGCGCGCATGCTCCGTTCGTTTTCGGCAACACACCACTTGCCCAGTACAACATGAAACTGCTGCTTGCCTTAAGCGGGACGTTTTTTGGCCGAGCTGGAGTTACACTCCGAAATTTTACCGGGTGAATGTTGTTGCCGAAATAGACATTGGAGGAAGATGCTGGTTTTCCGGGTGTTGATATTTGCGAGACAATGAATGGAGCTCGAGAAAGTAAAATTTGGGACATTGTTTACATCGATGCTGGACTTGCATTCTGGAAATGGGCCCTCGATGCATGTGCAGGGTGCAATAACGTGAGCTGGTCCAGCGGTGGTCAGGCCGGTGCGGCACAAAGGCCACGCTTTGGAGAGGAATGAACTGCCACATCTCCTATGTTGCAATCTGACAGTCGCTTTCGTAGTTTAGCTTGCACCTCGTGCGGCGTTCCTTTTGGCTAGCAGTAAGGTGGGCCACCTCATATTACCGCTCACGGCCGTATCGATTAATACCAACACCCCATTTGTCTCGTCATTATGGACCTATTCCGACGAGGGATGCTTTTCGGGGAGGGATGTACACCAGGGGGGCTTCCTCCCTCACTCGAGCATTCGCACGGATGGCGGGGAGCCGAGAGGGACGTCGGTGTTATCGGCCGCATTGAGCGCTCTCGACAACGGGGCTTGGTGCGCGTTCACGAGAACAATGGAGGCGTACGTGAAACGGCGATACACGACCGTGGCAGCAGTGCTGTTGGAGGCACGAGATGACAAACTTTCCTGCTAAAAGTAAGATACTTCTGGAATGGGTGGATGTAACGCAAAGGGCACGGAATGAAAAAAAAATGAAAGCCGTTTACAACTCTCTCTAACGCTGAATTAGAGTGAAGCTCTTGAGGAGGAGGAGGGAAGGGTGCTGAGGGAAGGGTATATCCCTCTTCCTTCCTTCTCACCTTGGCATCCTGCCTGCTACTCCTCCTCCCCCCCTCCTCCTCATGCTCCCTTCCTCCACCTTCACCCCCCTCGTGGCCCGTGTGAGGTCACGTGAACCCCTCCTCTGAAGGTCATGGGACCCCCATGGTGTCACGGGGGTCACGTGACCTGGGGGGGGGGTCACTGACCTCACGGTTACCCCGACGCCGCTGAAGCCAGAAACGGGCGCCTAAGAGCTGCTCTCTTAGGAGTGGCTCGAGGACGACATTGATGAATATCGAAGGCTCTTTCGGGTGCCTCGGACGACATGCGCAACAGCGTCAGCCACAACAAGTTGGGCGATCCCAGTGCCGCCGCCGATATCTGGCTCCGCAAAATCTGTAAAGTTGCCAGACGTGCGAACAAAATAGCGCCAATTGCAAAGGGATGCTCCCAAACCAAGGGCATTTGTGCAGCCCGAGCAGAAGCCAGCCCCATTACCCTGGGATGTCTACGTCAGTGCGGCTCCTCGCAAGAGTGGGACGTTGTTACCTCGCGTCCTGGGGAGCGAAGGAAGGGATTTCTCCCCCGCGTGAATATACATCCATGTCGTCCTGCCCATAGTAACAAGACATCTATATCCCATATGCAAGTTTGGAGGTTATTTGGGCCGCCAGTTGGCACTTGGTCGGCATGGATAGTCCTGCTTTTCATTGCCTGTCCACTCTGGTCGGTTTGCTGACCCTCAATGAGTTTGACGTCCACCACGTGAACGGCTTGGGTGGTGTCTCGCCGATTGAGCCGAGGAAGGATCTGAATAGGTGCCTGAAAAGCTTGTGGGAACCCCAAAGCCGGCCTTTGTGGTCAAAAGTGTCCCCTTGGCTGTTTGTGTGCATCCAGGACTATGACAGCACCCGGCAGGCGTATGAGGCCGAGAAGAACAAGCTGCGAGAGGAAGAGCGCACACTCAAGGCCAGGCTGGAGGAGCAGGACCCCCTCAAGCAGCAGCTGGCCAAGATGGCCGCCCACGAGGAAGGGCTGCGGCGTCTGGACAAGTCGCTCGTACGTCTCGGTCTCTCTCTTCTTCTTGCATCGAGTGTTTCTATTCTGGGCAACCCTCGCATTAACTGCTCTCCTAGTGGGTTCAGTTTTAAGAGGACCCTGATGGTAAAAGATATCCCTTAAATCTCAGTTTTTATTTACTCTCTGCTTTGAATCTAGTGCCTGCAGGGTGTAGAAAATATCGTAGAAGGCTTGTTAGGCAGTATTCCCAAATCTGTTCTACACAATCGGACATTCTGGCATTTTTCGATTTCTTGCCTAATTATTTTCACTTTGCTTTTTTTGTCAGCTTGTTTGAAGAGACAGATGAAATCTGGGCCAAGGACCACATTATAAATTGAACGAGTAATAATTTGAAATGATAGGAATGTCGCAAATTGTAGTGTAAAGGCCCGTTCACACTCTTGCAACCGAGTACGACCGAGAGAGACCAGACCGGTTTTGAAGCCTCTTGCGACCTCTTAGGACCGGATGCGCAGAAGGGGAGCTGGTCCTAAGAGGTCGCAAGAGGCTTCAAAACCGGTCTGGTCTCTCTCGGTCGTACTCGATTGCAAGTGTGTGAACGGGCCTTTACTCGTAGAGTACAATTAATCAGCCGGAACGTAAAAAGTCAAATTTGTTTCCGGAATACCGGCTTCATGAGCGAAACCGAATGCAGGAGGTGGAAGCGCTGTGCCAATTGCACCATTGTGCACCGATCCACTTTCGCTGTGCCATCCGGCTCCTAGTGCAAATGGTGTGCCAAAACTAACTGAAAAAAGTTGTTTCTTTTCTTTTATTTTTTTAATGAGCAGTTTGTTTTCGTTTGATGAAAACAGGTGCCAAGTGCCCATTTTCATCTAAAGAGAATGATCATAATTTATTTCGAGTTGGTCGTCCATTTCGAACGCGGGGAGAAGTAAATGCTTTTATTTTGTTTCAGAAATATACCGTATTTGGACGAATATGAACAACACCCAACAAAGGTTGCGTGTTTATTTACATTCCCCCGTACCATTGCCTCTGAAGCACTTGTTTGGGCGCGTTGCTTTGTGCCGTCAGTGCCACAGCTCAGCCAACAACGACGTGTGGGTGTCTGATCTCCAAAATGGGACATGCATGGGTGGCTTTATCAGAAAAACTAAAAACATCAGTTCGTCGTTAAAATCTTTTTTTTTTTTATCAAACTCCTAAACAAATTTTTTTTTATTTTATTCAGTCACGCTTGTTCTAGTAAAAGCTCATGCGCATATGTAGGACGAGGGATGATATTGTGAAGTTTTCAATATTTTTGCATTTGTACTTTTATCAGATAGAGTACTTGGAACATTCGTATTTCCTAATAATAAAAACTAGTCAGTAAATATTGGGCTTTATTTCGTACCATATTATTTCATCTTGAAATAGTATTGTTTTCAACTTATAGAACTTGTGATTTGGGTCGTTAAACAGGGACAGTGTTTTGTTTTCATGAGCCTTAAGTTGTGTTTCTTTTGTTGACTATGCCTTCTTTTGGAAGTCTATAAGAGGAACCAGCCCGCTAGCAGGACAGTTCTTAATAGCTGCCATTCCGACAACTTGCAATTACGCTGTTTGGCATTTTATGCTATGGGCTGGATTATAATCCAGCCCATAGCTTAAGGAAAGGGTATGTTTGCAAATGTTTCTGGAACGTTAGATCGAGATGCCTTTTTTGTTGCGATATTTTTCTATTTATAAAAACAGCTGCGCACTTATAGCCCCAAGTTTGGCCTGGTTGACCAGCTCCAAGATTTACTTATGCGGCTACGAAACTGAACTTTTGTGGCTCTTGAACTGCTTCAAAGCTGCTTCAAAGGGGGGCATATTTGCTGCTCCCAGGCCCGCTACAAAAGGCTGAAGCTTGCTTCCCCCCCTGAGAATGCAAAATATTAATTTCGGAGAAAAGGTATTTAAAGTAATATCTCACGAGCTGAGCCAGTGGAAGTCTTGAGCAAAAAGAAAATGGAGATAACAGAGTCCTAAATTTGAAATATTTGACTTTGTGCAAGTTGATCCCCCTTAAGTTGTGGCTTTTGATTCTTATCTATGTGAGAGAGTAATGGAGCTGGCATGGAGCTGGTGAGCAGCTTTCTCTTTGTGTTTGCTCCATTGAAGTGGAAAGCTGCTTTTTTTACAGAAAGCGGAGGCTGCGGCCGCTCTGAAGAAAGTGGAAAACTCCCTCCAGAAGCTCACCGATCTGTCGGAACAGGTGCGTCCCTCTGTGCTGTCTGGCAAACTCGTTGCACTGGTGCCGCGAGAGGAATGCCCCTTTGGTTGGCTCCGGCCACTGGTGGGATTGCATGCAGTAGCGACGCGAGACTTTAGACGAGCGTGTGCAAAGCTCGTATTCCGACCCGACCATTACCTCGAGGACGTCGAAGGAAACAATAACGTGCCTGTCGTCCTTTAGATATACAAAAGGCTGCACGTCGGCTTCGAGGACTATGCGCGGCTGGCACGCAACGTCGCACTTCCTTGCTGAGGAGAAGAAGAAATTAGCTGGTGCCGAGCACATTTGTTGCCATTTCGTGAGTTCGGTAAAAGGTAGTCGGGGAAGATTTCTCGAGGCGCTAAATTTGCTCGCAGCAAATTAGTGAAGATGGTGTAACAGCACCCAAGCTTGAGTAGACCCCCGCCGCGTGCATGGATCGTGGCAAGTGTCGTCTTTCTGTCAAACCCGCTGGAGCTCTGCCCGATACGACACGGGTCATCTCGTGCATGTGCAAAATTGAGTTACGATGGCTTCACGCGTGCGTGAAAAGCTCAGTGGTATCGGTCTATTTGGAATAGTTGTCGAGGTACCTGCACAACTTAGGTCACGTAATACGCGCTTGTTGTACACTCTGTCCCGCAAAAATTTGTGGGTTGTTTTTTTAACTGCAAAAATAAACCGCCGAACGCTCGTTCTCTTCTCATATGTAGCGCTAGCAGTTTGAATCAGATGCCCAAGTTTTTGAACTAACCGTTATCTCTTTCTAAAGTTGCGAGTGATATTCCGAAATTTTCAATTGCAAATGTGGCCCGTTTTTGGCCATTTTCGGGTACTGATGCCCTTTAGTTTCCTGTATTAGAAAGGTCCGTCGGCCGTCATTTTCCCATTATCAGAAAATCTCTTACCGTAAAAAGCGCCCACTTTTAAGGGGAGACGAAGCTTCAAAATACTCATTTTTTTGCGAAATAATATATTTGTAAAATTGCACAATTCTGGCATTTACTGCTAACATTTAGGGTTCTGCATTTTCTGAGTTTTTTTTTTCTCGATATATGCGGTATTTTTGGGGGGGGGGGGGGGTTTAATTTTTTTCCTACAGATTTAATGTTTTTTTGCGTAAATTGGTTATGACTTAACCAATTTGCACAAGAAACACTGAATCTGTAGGAACAAAATTTAACCACGAAAGAAATACCCCCAATTTGGAGAAAAAAAAAAAAAATAAAAAAATTTTAAAAAGCAGAACTCTGCTAATAATGAACACCCTCACAAAGTTTTATCAATGTACATTAACAAACAGTAGCAGAAATTATCATTATTGACCCGTCGGTAACGCACGCGAGGAGTGCCGTGCTTGGCTGAGCACGACAAGAACCATGATTAGCGTCAGTTTCAAGACACGATCGCTCCGCGGCTACTAGGCCGAGCGGGGTGCGGGAAGTCTCGTTCGAATTGCGGGCTTTCGATTTTACTTCTTTCTTTATTAATTTCTTTACCCCTCCATGCACGGGGGAGAGCCCCGTAGGGAGCGCTCCTTCTGGGGCAAGAATGCTGGTAAAAAACCAATGGGCGTTGCTATTGGCTGATGTAATGAAACTACGAGTGGCTGTCTTCGGTCACGGGATTCTCCGCGCACGGGGCGCCTTCAGAACACGTTTGTTCTCTGATCTGACCGTTTCGCCCCGTTTCTCTTCGATCTTCCCTGCTTCTGTTATCACCGAAAAATGCCCGCATTTAAAGCTAATATACACCTTGGTAGGCGTAGGTCTCGGATCCTGCAAGGGCATAGAAGCTCCGGTGTCACTTGTGCCGCCAGCGCAGTCAAGTCGGAGTTGGACTTGGTCGGAACCATCGGAGGAGGCTTCTTCTACGCCGTGTTTCGCGCGTGCTTCACTCCCGGAGGAAGTTGATGACTACTTTTGAGCGGAAGATTCTGCTTTCGGAACGCAGCGAGGCCGAGCGTGAACCGATCAATGACGGCAATCAACCTCAATCGCTCGACGGACATTGCTTCGTGCGTGTTTCAGCCGTGCGGACAGTGTTGAGCTCCTTGTTGTGCCCCACTTGTTTGGGAAGCGAATTGGAGTTGGCGGAAGATAGAACTGGAGCCAATTTGCAGTTTGTAGTCGTTTGCAGTTCTTTTGGGGAGATAGCGAAGGCACCGCACTCCGCGCCCGTGGGAACGACTCGGCAAAATGAAGTCGCTGCGCGCCTCTGTGTTGTCAGTCGGGACTGCGGAACGAACTTCATAAAGCTGAAAACCTTTTCTAGAGACGCGAGTGCACCACCGCCGATGCATCTTGAGGCCTACCGGAACATAGCAGTAAAAATGCACGATGTGTCAATGGAAGCGGCGCGATGAAGGAGGCTGCGAATGCCGTGAGAAAGCCGCAGGCAGAGGAGGCTCAAGGTGAAGCACAGGACGATGGACAGGATCTTCTCGATGTCTGCGTCAGTTACGACTGTACGTGGCAGAAGCGCGGCCACACGTCGCACATAGGGGTCGGTGCAGTCCTGAAACTCAAAACTGGCTTAGTCCTCGATTTCTCAGTGCAGAGAAACTATTGCCATGGCTGCAACCCTCGGTCCCAAGAGAGATTCGGATGAATACCGAGCTTCGGCAGAATTGCGCGAGAAAGTCTGACAAAAGACCTCTGAGGGCTCTTCCAACACGATGGAAGTGCGAGCGGCTGGTGACATCTTCAGCCGCTCAGTGGAACTGCACAACATGCAGTACGTGACTGTGCTCAGTGATGGGGACAGTAAGGCTTTCAACCACGTTGCAAGCCTAGGCCTCTACAACAAAGATGTACAGAAGGAAGACTGCCTTAGCCATGTGGCAAAGCCTATGTATGCCAGAATGGAGAAGTTGAAAAAACCAAGAAGGGGCTTGGAGGAAAAGGCAAGCCGAACAACATCGTGATGAAGAGGCTTACAAGCTTCTATGCGACTGCATTGAAGGACAACACTCCAAATATCGTCCAGATGCTGAAGGAAGTCTTTGCAAGCTTGCTCTACAGCTACTGCACTAACGCCGAGCTCCGGCACCAGGCATGTCCTCGGGGTGAAGACTCCTGGTGTCGTTTCAGTCTCCACACAGCTCTGCTAGCAGCTGGCAAGCCAAGTGCTCTGCGTCCACATCGGCCAGCCTTCTTGAGGTACATAGCTCAAGAACCGGTTCCGCTGTACAGCCGTCTGTCGGACCTTGCTGGCAAGGTGCCGAAGGATGAATACTCAAAATGCCAACGAGTCCTACAACGCGCTCATCTGGAAGAAGTGCCCCAAGGCCGCGTTGGCATACTGTGGAAACCGCCACCGCAATGGCAGTTCTGGAGTTTACCTTGGTCCGCAGGGCTTCGAGAGGCTGCTCGAAACGATGGGCATGGAACCTTGAAGCCCCCATCTGGAGCACACGAAGAAAGCAACTGAGCTGAAGATCACGCAGGCAAAGGCCCTATAAGTTTACCCACTAGCAAAGGAAGCTAGAGGCAGTAGCGGCGGAGCAGAAGAGGGTTGAGAAAGAAGGTGTCACCTATGCTACTGGCAGGTTCTTCCAAAGTTCAAAGTGCAAAAAAAAAAAAAAAAAGGGCGATCTTCAAATTTTAAACGTTTATTTTAGCTTCGCTTTCTGGTGTCAAATCTCGGTTCACAGAAGCTATCATTTCATAATTAAATTATATGTGTAGCTAAATTTGGGTTTCTTTCTATTAAAATTTTGTGGGGAACGCGACTGTGAACTTACTTTCAACATTTTTATTTTCTTTCTTATGAAAAGTTGATATATCATTAATCAAATGCACACACACACAAAAAAAAAATGTTTTTATAAAAGTTCTTATAATTTTTGTAATTTCTTTTCAAAGTCGTCTGAAGCAAGTATTCTACTGTATGTTCCACTAAAAAAACTTTCCATTTTCATTACCATTTCTAAACGATAGCTCTCCTCAGCGGATGCATTTTTTGTGATGTATTTTTACGTAACTCATCGTGGGATAAATTTAAAGGTTGAAAATTTGTGTGGCATCCTTTCTCAGTGTTATGAGTACACCCTGCAAATTTCATACGGATAAAACAAACGGTGCGAAAGTTAGCCTTTGGGAGTAGTGTTCCCACGTAGCATTTCCCAAACTTGGGAATTGTGCAACTTGAATGTTAAGTGCCCGATTTGATCAGGCAAGCACCCGTGTCTCAATAACCCAATTTTCAGTGAAAGTTGGGTGTTTGCTCCTCTGGTTTCTTACAGTGTAACTTTTGAAAAAGATAACAGTTGTGAAACTTTGGCATCTGGTTGGGACTGGTATACTTGGTCTCACCTTAGCATGGACTATGGTTAGCTGTGCATGCTAAAAGCACCAGCTGGTTGCTTTGGATGAAACCTCAGCAGCTGCACAAGCACTCGTGCAGCTCCAGTGAAGGCTAGTTGCTCGCGCTTGCACAGCCTCTGCAGTTAGTCCATGCTAAGGTGAGACAAAGCACTAGGCATGGAATGAGCGTTTGGTGATGCATTAGTTTAATTTCGTGGTGAAAAAAAAAAACTGTAAATTTATTTTTTTTTGGGGGGGGGGGGGGGGGACATTTTGTACTGTTAAACCTCAATATAATCAAGTTTTACTGAGAAGGTTGCAGACTTGGTTAGGGTGTTCTGAATTTCATTGGGCTGACATTTTTGTTATTTATAAATGCCATTGTAACGCCCCTTCCAGGGTGGTGCTGTGAAACGTGAACTGGAAAGAAAAATTAAGGATGAGGCAACGAGAAGGGAAAGGTAAGCCAATTTTTTTCTAATTTGGGATTAAATGAGGGCTTGCAGGGAGCTTTTTGTGCAGAATTATGTTGATATCTCCATTCATTCAGCTACAGACGAGTAGCTGAATTGCTTCCAGTGAAGCAATCCTCACGTATTGCTTCTCTGGAAGCAATCCGTGAGGGCGGTCTGCACTTTGCTCGGAAACGGGCAATGTACAAACGATCTTGCCAGACCAGTATGCATTCCAAAGCGTGCTCGGCGTTCTCTTCGTGGGCGAAGAACCACTCGGCAAGTTGAACTTCAGCTGCGCTCGGTCGCGGTTCTTTTTCTTTGTCATCACTGCTTTCGTTCGTAAGTTCCTCCTGTGGCATAGCGCAAATAGAATGTACCATCTCCACGTGTGTCAATAACCCGCACACTTCGAGGTTGGCGTCAGTGTTCACAAAATCGTTCATGCCCAGGTTGCCCAGCACTGGCTCCAGGCAAGCCGCTTCCACAGGCAATAACTCAACATCATCGACGTCGATAGCGTCACTCTGAATTGTTTTGAGAGCCAGAGTCATGAACCCTCACTTATGGAAACAGTTGGCGATTGTTTCTTGCTTAACGGCATTCCACGCTCGCTTCAGCATGTCCAGGGCGCTAAGAAGATTGACGTCGTAGTCTTTGATGCAGTCCACACAAAGGATCATGCGCTGTAGCAGGTGTTTCCGGTGCCCTGGTCCATAGGCTGTAGAACAGAGGTTGCATTTTGCAAGAAGAATTCAAGACGCTCAGTTTTCAAGCCCTGAATGCTGACGTGAGCGCTGCAGTTGTCAACAAAACGCAGCCCTTTGTGCTTCTTTACCGCGAACTTTGCGTCAAGCTTCCGTAGCCACTCGTGGAAAAACGCGGCGGTCATTCAAACCTTCTTATTGGCGGTGTACTGGGTGGAGAGAGTGTTCACTCCTTTCAATGGCCGAGGGACAACTTCTGCCACTGGCTAGAGCATCGCCAATCGGGACTGGATTCTGCGGGATCGACTTACGGTAAGCGAACTGAATGTAGTTCAGTACTCTGGGTACATTCAGTGACACTAGCGCAACCGACAGATGTCGTCGCCAATAGTTCCCGGAGTGGCCGCTGCGACAGAAATGGTGGCTCTACGATCGCATATAGTTTGGTTCCGAAGTGTGAGTGGGAGCCTGTTCTCCAAAGCAGGCTCTGATGGCAGTTTTCCACTCGAGTTCTAGTAATGTTTGGTACCACAGGGGACTTTTTGACATTTTCTTTGGCAACGAAAACGCCGCGCTCTAAAAAAGGTTATTGGGGAGTGCATTGCTGTCCCCGTGAGCTTGGAATTGGCGATTGCCGAGAGTATTAATCTCCCGCTTGGTCTGAAAAGTAGCATGCTGTGCGGCCAGAGCAACGCTTTGGGCTCTTGGGTTTGCTCCCCCCATCTCTCGACTCTTTGCCTCTCCGTGCCGCTCTGATGTGCTGTCTCTCTCTGCCATGCGCGGTTCCTCCGGTGTTTCATTGCACGTTCCTCACAAAGGCGGGGCATGGCGTAGCTGGTGGGGACGCAGTGCAACAGGAGTTCACTCTGGGTACAAGTGCCACCCACAGCTCGTGCCAGAGTCAATTCCATTCTTGAGGTGGCCTTTTCTTTTGGCGAGGGTTACTGCGAAATCTGCATTGTGCGTTCTGCGGCAAACTTATGTCGCACTCGCTCTTTTTTCAGAATTGACAGGTGCAAGGCTGACATTGAAGGCTTTGAAAAGGAACTTGGGGAGGCGGCAGCTGAAAGTATTGAGGTTGGTCTCCTTCCTCCTTCAGACGGTTCTTGACGGGCCTACAGTCGAACCCGGATATGTCGAATTCAAAGGGGATCGTAAAACAGTTCAATATATCGATAATTTCATATACAAAAATACGTTAACTTAAGCTCCATTTGAAATTTCGGTGCGTCTCTGCTAATACCGAAGGCCGCGACAAACGGTACCTTACCGAATAGAGCCTCTATGAGCCGCTAAATACAGTAGAGCTTGGTGAAGATCACCCCCGCGTTTACACAACGGTGTTTGTAACTTCCACACAGCGCAGGCAACAAAACACAAAAATAATTTTAAAAAATGAAAGAACGGATTAAGCAAGCCGCATAAAAAAAAAAAAAAAACTCGCCATCTATAGAATAAAGTTAAGCAAGCAACAAAAAAAAAAAAAAAGACCTCACTAAATTAAAAAAAAAAGGCAAAAAAAATATTGGCAGAGCAAAACCTGCGAAAGAAAAAGGTAAACGAAGATAAGGCGTTCAAAGTGTGATTGCTCAGCCAGTGTCGAGGCACTCAACTTGAGGAACACTTTTTTTTTTTTTGCTTTTTTTATTTTGGGGATAAAGGACACATGCAAAGGAAAAAAACATTCTTTTAGACAGCTTAGATGGAAAAAGGATGTCATAAAACGATTTTACAACGAAGAAAAAAATTTTTTAGAGCTATATTTACGGCGCTATATGAATTTGTAGTTGACGCTCGCGGGAGCCGCCGCTGGTCACGTAGGCCCGCGCGCCGCCGCGCTGCGTCGCCGCCGCACGCTGAGCGTTGTGCGAACACCGCTTCAACGCGTTTCTCTGCGCCGCCGTCGCCGCCGCCGCACAAGTTCGCCTGTTTCGGGGCACCACCGCCGTCGTCTGCTTGCGCTTTTTCAGGAGTTTCCTTTGGGCTCTAAAAGTTACTTATTCATCTTAGTTTTTTGTTATACATCAAACAAAGATGAATAATTTACTTTTAGAGGCCATAGGAAGCTTCCGAAAGAGCGCAAGCACCACGTGACAAATATGGGCCCTTCACGTGATAAGCAAAAGCCACTTTTCCGCGGCGCCCACCGGCGCCAACTACAAATTCGTATAGCGCCGTAAATGTAGCTCTAAAAATTTTTTTTCTTGGTTGTAAAATTGTTTTATGATATCCTTTTTCCATTTAAGCTGTTTAAAAAAAAATGTTTTTTTCCTTTGCATGTGTCCTTTAAGGGGGGACACTGGCTAGAGGTCAAACTTTTGAACTACTCAAGTGATCAAACTGAAATTTTCAAGGGAGATTTAGCTTCAGATGTAGGTGTACTGTGCAAACTTTCAGGTCCCTAGGACAAATTTACATACCTGCGTAAGATGATGTGTCACTTTTCATTAAGAAATCTATGATATTCAAATGAAGCTAATAAACATCACTTTGACTGCTTGAATATAAAGTGGGGGATATGGAACCTCGGGCTATCTAGTTTTAATAACTTAATTGTAAATATTTCAGGAAGAGTTATTACCTCAAAATATGAGATGCATATCTGTCCTATGTCAATTTTTGAAAACTTAGTTTTTTATCTCTGAGGTCTTCAACTTAAAACAAAATAAAGTAGATAGCCCGATTCCCCAATAAATTTCAGTTCAGAAACATCTTGATTGTGGTATCCAAATAATTTTTACCTTCGAACAAAAGATTCCTTTATATGAATTTTGCAGCAAAAAGTGGAACTGAGAAAAATGCATTCGAACATTGAACTCCTTTACTTTGTTACTGCCTCACAATGTTTTGAAAATATTTTATATCAATGTAACTATTTGGCGTATGGTTATCAAATTTGGTGTAAGGGTGTATAATAAGTTTATAAAACTGAAAACCTTAAAATTGAAAAATTAATTTTTTCAAAAAATTTTGAAATTTAGGCTTATGTCCCCCCTTAAGAACAGCGGGCACTCCCTGCCCTCCCTACGCGCTTGCTCATGCCCTTCCCCAAGCTCTTGCCATCCTCCACCTTTTTTTCTTTCAATGTTTGTTTTTACTGGTGCTTTTATTTATTTATTTATTTTTTCAACTGCTTCTTTGCTGCGTATTCTTGTGCGCGTATGCTGGCTTGGCGGTCTGCCAGCCCCGCAACGTGAGCTACGTGCTGGCCACCGGCGCCTCGATGCGACCTCGGAGGGGCGGCCGTTTTAGTGTGCAATATGGAGTGTCCCCGCCGCGGGTACAGAAAAACAAAGCTCCTCTACTTTTTCATGTGATTTCCAAGGGGATGTTTGGACTGTTTGAAATAAAGGATAATTGGAAATACCCGGGTGTGACATCAGCAAGCTCGACTGTAGTTTCACCCAACAGCCTGGATGAGACTGGAAGGCGATGGTGCTGACAAAGACTGGGCAAGTTTGGGAGTGGGGCAGACATACACACACCTGCCCCAAGCTCTCTCGGTACCATCGAGCAAATGTACATTTTTCTGCCATACGTTCGACGGAAGTCTTCCTCCGCGTTACGGTGACGGACTGGAGCGAGCGGTTGTCCTGCTTCCGTAGGAGGTTGATGTGACTGTTGTGTGACGTAGTACTCCAGTCGGATGAAATGATCCGTCACTTTGGGCACCTGCTCTTGACGCTCTTCCCATAGGTGCACCTGTTTGCTCCTTTGGATCTGGCAGCGAGAGTTTGGACGACTCCTGGGCATCAAAACTCTGGCCACTCTCAGGAATTGGCTCAGAATTGCAGTCCAGCCATGGGGCCACCCCGAGAGCCTCATATTTGTATCTGTCCGATGCAGTTGATCTTACTTAGAGTGATTGTACATTGCACACTTCTGCTGGTATAGCTTGGGTGCATTTCGAGCCCACTTTTAAGGACGAAACTTCCAGCAAAGTTGTAGAGAAATTGCCACGCCAATCCTTCGGAGCACGATGAACGGCATGGGTCGCCCCTTTGTCTCGTCCCCAGAGCAAGCTGCAGGAGGTGCAGTCGGAAATGCAGCGCTGCAACCAGACCTTGACCGCCATCTCCCGTGCCAGACAGATGGCAGACGCATTTGTCCGGGAGAGACAGCGTGAGAGCGCAGGTAACGGCACGCCCGGGTCCCAGTTTGCTCGGATCGTGGTGCTCTCGGACATCGCGTCCGGCTTCTCCACAAATTATTTGGGCCCAAAACTGAGAATGTGCGAGACGGCAAAGGCGGCGCAACGGTGGTGTCAATTGTAGGGTGGTGTCAATTGCGGGGTAGTGACGGTGGTGTCAATAGCGACCGGGAAAACCGGGAATGGTCGGGGAAATTTTAATTACCGGGATGAATCGGGGAATTGTTAAGGATATTGTCAAAAAGCGAGTCCAGTCAGGGAAAATGAGCCAGAAACGTCATCGAGTGCCCTGAGCAAAGATCCGAGGACTTTAGGGGCAGAAAAAGAGGCAATAAATTCTGCTTAGAGCGGAGCGCGGGCTCTGCTCACCCGATGTAGAGTGTGCTTGCTACTCGATGCAAAGGAAACAGCCAACAAATCCAGTCCAAGCCTTGGATTGGATTGAGGGCGCGACACTAGGCTAGATCCAGTTAGAGCTACTAGATTTAGTAACAAATGGAAAAGCCGTTAACTCCAATCCAATTCAAGCCTTAAGCCGAAAGCACCCGAAAGTGTGCATCTGGTGGCCATGTTGCCATTCGGTTATTGACGTGTGTGGTTGATCGTCGCATTTTCGTGTTTCCGGAAGTGGCCTTTTCACTGACGCAGCAAGAAAATGCTCGCTTAATCCGGACGGGACGAACCCAGATATTTCGGAATATGCGAATTTTTTATTTTTATTTATTTATTTATTTCAAATACTGCCAACCCTTGCGGGTTATAGCAGGAGTGGATACAGTAATACATCAAACAAAATACAGGTGACGCAAGAAGTGATCCATAGAACAGTCATTCTCCCAGGTGCAACTAGTACATGTCAGCAAACCATCAACTTTTCTTAAAATTCTTCAACAGAAGTGACGTCCGAAAAAACACTTTGGGGTAATCATTCTTCAGTTGTTTTGACGAGAAACAAATATTTAAAAATGTCAATATTTGGCATAAATGGGTCAACTGACAATTCATTGTTTAGTCGTCGAGACCGTCTTCCAGGAGATCTAAGTTTGCGTGTCAATATGGAGATACTTAAAATACAACAAATAAAAAAACTTCGCAATTCTTCGTCTTGACGCTAAGGAGGATAATTGGGCTTCCCTCAGCAAGGCCGAAACAGACTCGTGTCCATCGTATTTAGAAAAGAGAAACCTTGCTGCTAGCCTTTGAGTACACTCCATTTTATCTATTTGAGTTTGTCCGTGGGGCTCCCATATTATCGATGCATATTCCAATGTCGGGCACACTTGAGTTTTAGAAACGTTGGTTCGGATATCGGAGTTTGTCCCTCTTAGAGATCGCCTCATAGAACAAAGTGTCCTATATGCTGAATTGCATACATTTTCAACGTGCGTATTCCAGCTGAGATCACCCAAGATAGTAATACCAAGATATTTAATTAATAGTGTTAGAAAGTTGCAAGACTACACCATCTATTTGATACAAAATCATCAATGGAGACTTCTTTTTGGCTATGCTTAATAAGACAGTAGTTTTATCAAAATTAATTCGCATATCCCATTTTTCACACCAGTGAAATATAGTTGTCAAGGGGTCATTCAATAATTCTTGATTATCTACAGTTATTACGGGGATGTAAACCAAACAATCATCAGCAAACAAACGCACTTCTACAGCTGGGTCGATATCTTGAGCGATATCGTTAACATAGACTAAAAACAAAACTGGCCCCGAAACAGATCCTTGAGGTATGCCAGACGTGACCGGTAAAGCAGATGACACATGACCGTCAATTTCAACGTACTGTCTCCTATCAGATAAGTATGATTTGATCCAAAGAACCAAGTTCTTATCAACACCAAGAAGCAATAACTTTTCAAGTAACTTTGTATGCAAGACTCTGTCAAATGCTTTAGATAAGTCGATCTACCTGGCCACGAACATTTAGCACTTTTCCAAACTGATGAGTTGATTCCAACAACTGGGTAATAGTCGATAGCTTCCTGCGAAAACCGTGTTGTTTATCATAAACTGGGTTTCCGTCTTCTAGAAAATCAACAAGATGTTTAGAAATGATGTGTTCGAGCATTTTGCGTGTTGTTGATGTCAACGATATGGGCCGGTAGTTTTGAACTTTAAGATGGTTGCCCGATTTGTGAAGGGGTACAACTTTGGCAATAGACCGATCTCACCAAGCGTTCCACGCATGCGTGACGCCGCCATAACTGTAGTTCGTAGGAGGCAGACGCCAGTGCACGAGACAGCTCATGCTGCCTCGTGCTCTGCTCGCGCAGACCTCCAGCAGGTTTGTTGCACATGCAGAAAGACTACAGCTCCCACGATGCATGGCGGCAGCGGTGGCATACTCAAGCTAGCTGGTGAGATTGGTCTATTAACCAACCATTTGGTAAGCGGCATGTATCTAGCGACTGTTAAGAGATAATGGTCAAAGAACGTGAAACCGGTTCGCAGTAATGCCTCAGGAATTCATTTGGGACTTTATCTGGTCCCGGTGATCTTTTTATGTCAATATTTAATAGTAAGGCCCTCACTCTCTCAAAAGTAATTTGAATAGGCTGAGCTTGCAGGCTGGGTTCGCTGTCAGTCAGGTTATTTACAGATGTGCCCGCTGAAAAAACCGAGTGAAAGTAGTTATTGAATTCATTGGCTACAGTAAGCGGATTATTGCATATAGCACCGCCCACATAAACTTCTTTTATAACTTTCTGCTCAGGGGACAGACGTTGCCAAAACTTATGTGGCGACGTTTTTAAGATCATATTTATCGTATTTGCAAAGAAGCTAGTTTTGGAATCTTTGAGTTTCTTTTTCACATCACGGCTTAAAGAACTAATTGCTGAAAAGTTCCGGTGCTTACGCAGTCTCTTGTTTTAATCTGCGCTTTAAGTGGATGATCTCACGTGTGACCCGAGGATTTGTCTTATTAATCTTTTTTATTCTCTGAGGCACATACGCTGTTAGACAGTAGTTTACTGCTTCCTTAAAGTGATACCCGAGGCTTTCAACGTTCGCGTCCTGGCAAAAAGAATCGAGAGAATATTCCAAATAATCTAAGACAGTTGTGTCATCAAGCTTTTTCAAAGTTGTAAACGAGTGCCATATTCTTTTTCTGTTTTTGACGGGGGCTATTTTGTGTTACCGTCTCACGCACCAGCTTATGATCTGAAATCCCGTCTACAACAGAGACCTGGGATTCACGAAAGCAGGTCGAAAGAAAGCAGAGATCTAAAATGGGAATTTCGTGGCCCACACATTCTTGGGGGTTCCCAGACTATTTGATCGAGGCCGTGTTTTAACAATATTTCTAACATGTAATCATCTTGATACAAAACCTGACTCTTGGACAATTTTTTCATTCCAATTAATGTGGGGGAAATTAAAATCTCCAAGAATAATAATAATTGGGGTTGTGGGGATATTTATACAGCGTGTAGTTGGTCTGCCATTAAAGTTGCGACGAGTCACACGCTGTAGATGAGCAATTTAGCCAGTGCAGTACAACCGCTAGCCTGGGGTCTTTAACGTGCACCACGCAGCAGTGATACACGACCGCACGCCGGTACGATGCTCATCCAGATCGAAACGGGCAGGGGTGGGGCTCGAACCCAGGATCTCTGGGTTCTGCAGCGCGAGCTTTCGCTCCACGCGCGGCGAGCTGGGTGTGCGCTTCAGCCCACTCGGCCACCGATCCCCCCGAGAAGAACTATTAATTTAGTGTGTTTATTAGCATGGGGTGTCAGAAAATCATAAATTTTTTCCATAAAACTGATGCCCGAGGATGGCAATCTATACACTCGGCCGACCAGATTGTTACAATGTTTTCAGAATATTTTGCACCATACACTCTCATCGTCTGGGATATGCGTTACAGCCTGATACCTCAAGGACCGCTTTATAAGCACGGCAACACCTCTAGTGTCTCTGTCGCGCCACAAAATATTCTAACCGGGAGGGAAGACTTGGAAATCTGATACGTCGTGACGCAACCATGTTTCCGTTATCACGACAAGATGCGGGTCATGATCCAGTAAAACAGATTCCAGTTGGTCAGTTTTATTCGTAACACTTTGCGTATTTAGCGTAACTATTATCAATCTAGGAATCTTCTGATGTCAGTCTTTTTCTGATGCATGTCAGTCTTTTTCCGAGTTGTATTAAGCCCGTGCAAAATGATCCTCACAGTGCTCTATGTCTTGTGTTGTAATGGTCTTATATATTTAACTGCCTCTACAGTGGTCAGAGAATTTCAGTGGAAATTGTCAGGGAAAACCTGGAAAAGTCGGGGAATTTGAAAATAATAATTGGCTCGACAGCCTGCAATCATCGTCACCGCCGCAGTAGTTCTCCTCTCTACGCACGTCACTTGACAGTGACAATTTACATAGGTAATATTCATTACTTTTCACCGAGAAAATTCGTAATACTGGTCATTATTGCTTTGTAGGACCACGCAATATCTTCGCTAAACAGAAATATTTCATAAACAGGAATTCCTTGTTGTAGTCAGAAAATTAAACTCATGGGAGATTTTTCCGGGACTTTATTTTACATCGTTAAACTGCTGTTTATGTAGTACTGCATTGCACGAACAAATTTCTTTTTTGGGGGGGTCATCAAAATTGCATGTTGTAACATAAATACTATTACATTAATACATTTTTTTGGGGGGTGGACCATCTACATTGCATCTCGCGGTATAAATGTGGGGGGGGGCGGAAGTGCATTTTGGAGCATTGCACGCAGTTGAAAAAAATGTTTATTTGAGCATGAGGCATTCCTTTAATAGACATACAGCATTTGTTTCACGAAAAATCAAATAATTTTGTCGAAATGTTGCTTTATATAAAATTGGAGATGGCAACTTTGGTTGCAGCGAGCAACATTAGCCCCACGTTCCCAGCTGTGTGCACAGGCGTGATCTGCCACACGATGAACTTGTTAAAGATGCAGCGTTGGCTGCACCGCTTGTCAGCACAGTTGCACGGCTCCTCGATGCTTTCCTGCCATGGGTGCAATCCGGCTCGGAGTAAGAGGGGGCGAATGCAGCGGGAATGGCTGTTGCAAGCCTTTGCTCGGGGAAGCAGCCAGCCATTGCGCAGCGGGCACAAAGATGGACAATCTTACTGTGCTAACGATTGGCCTGTGGCATGGGCCCATCAATTTCAGAGGGTGCTTAAGGGCACAGGGTAAGTCCTATACTCCCCATGCATTTGAGGCCATGTTGAGGAACAGTTTTCTCGCTGACTATTAGGAGTATTTCTGTCATGTATATATCATTTTGTTCGAAATTTTGTGTTTTATCTACGGAACTAGAATTATTTGAACCAATCTCAAATAAGTTTTATTCTGAATTTTTTTATTCTAGTACTGAAATTTTAGGTTTTTTCATGTATTAAAAAAAATTATAACTCAAAAACTGCTAGGTGCATATTTTTAATTATAGTTCAGTATTTTTTAACACCCATGTAGGTGGTAGGAATAAAAAAAAAATCAACCCTCTATAATGTCGGGTTAAGGGAAAAAAAATGGTAGCCTATGTACTCTAAAACACTCTTCTAAGATAATTGAGTTTAAAGTAAAAAAAACTGGTGAATAACAAATTTATATTGGCTTAAAACGTCCTCTTGTGTGTTTCTTTTGTTTTAAGTCAATGTAGATCACCAACACGCTCAAGTCTTTAACAAATTTATATTGGCACTAACAGCCTTAGATTCAGTTTTTCAATAGCCGCCAGCTTGGAAGGCATTGTTAAAGTCGTGTGTTTGCTTTTCGGCTTATCGCCTTGCTTGCCGGGCCTCTTTTGTGACCTGCCGTGTCGCTTGGTCCGTAAAGTATCTTCGAGTGACGTCAACTTCTCTCAGCCACTTGATGGTGTTCCACACGGGGTTCCATCCACAGGATTAAAAAACATTGGCTTGTGCAATGCTACTACCATTGAATGAAAGAACAGCATCCAGTGCCGCCATTTTGTCGTTACAAAAACACAAACGCTTGAAAGTACACATAAGACACACCTGGAAAAAAGGTGCGCAGCGTCTCGGGATCGTCTTGGTTGCAAGAAAAGCTCTGCAATGGTTGTCAGATAAATTTTAAAGATTGTCTGTTACTGGACAAGCTTTTAGGTCTGATGTGGAATTTGTTTTGTTGGAAACTTTATTGATAAACAGGGAGCGTATCCCAAAAGGAGGCGTGTGTTCACCTGCTGCTTGCTTTCGGAAGAAGTGATTTTCAGCCCGAAATATAGCTTTCTTAGAACACTCTGACAATGGAAAATGTGCAGAAAGAACTAAACTTTTCAAATTGCAAAAAAAAACTAAAATCTTTTTTTTTTTTTTTTTTATTTTACCTTACCCCGTGCTTTTAAAGAAATACTAACACCCCAGAGGCCTTTTTTTTTTTTTTTTCTCGTCTAAAACGATGCAAGTTGTAGTCATAAACACACAAAAAGAAACCACACGCGCAAAAATATTTTTTTCGAGCACGTGTACCTTTTTTTTTTTTTTCACTTTTCTGTCTTTTTTCATCTCCTCACTTCTTTTTATTTGTGACGTACTCGATTATGAAATTTATAAGCTTTGCAAGCGACATTTCTATAATATTTAGTAATGGAATCATTCGTAAAACATGTTTTTAAACCCAATTGCGCCCCGCCCCTTCTTTCGAATTATCGAAAATTGGAGTCTGGAAGTGATGCTGCCTCCTGGCTTTTTATCCTTCCTCGGAAAACATGGTGTTGCTCGGCACCCGTGGCTGTGAGGATGATCGGGGAGTTGGGGAATCAGACCAAGTTCTCTATGTTTGGCAGACTGGTACCTCTAGCCTCGGACGTTTGGCTTTGTGCGACGTGACCTGCTGCGGCAAGTTCGTCGGAACTAAGCCACGCCTCAACCGAGGTACCATTTGAATTCTCAACACTCCGAGACGTTTGGGCTGACCCCATAATCCTCGTCGACAAAGTGTCGAGAACAAATGAAGGACTCGGATCCAAAACCTTCTAGCAGTCCTCACCGGAATTGCAGCTAGCCAGTCTGCCTTCTCTGACGCATTCTTCAAGAACCTGTGCAGCATACTTTCGGCTGTGGCTGCGCCACGGGCAGCCTTTCGAGCCGTACCGGCGCGACATGACCCCTCGCGTCGCTCAGAAAAGTCCACTCCGCATCCCCTTTGAGCTCGCACCGTTTCAAGAATTTGAGATCGCCGAAAGGGCCCTAGACGAACTTCCCACTCGAAAGTGAAGCATCGTCTGCTCACAGCGATAGGCGGCATGCACGGAGAAGCGCTGTTGATCGCAGGATGCGGGAGAACACAACACTTAAGGTTGGGACGGTTGGGAGGCGGAAGAGAAACTCGAGTTGCAGGACAATCTTGGATGTCACTGCAGTGGCCCCGATTACGTGGGAACTTGAAATTCGGGTTTGGGAAATTGTTTTTTTTACTTCGAATCTTGAGGGTAACGTCGTTTTCAACCAGTTGAGATAATTAAAAAAAAAAAAAAAAATTTTTAAATTGTTTTTAGCTTTCTAGTGGGATTGGGTAACTCGTTCTCTGTGGACGGAGTTTGGAGTGGGGAAGAACCTGCACATTTGTGTGGGGAATAGAGGTTTGGCATTGTTTGCTGCAGCCCTTGAAGAGGAGATGAGGAGGCTCAAGGACCAGTCGAATCAGCGGATGGAGATGCTGCGAAGGCGAAGCAAGGATGCCTTCAGCGCCACGCAGTGGCTGCTCAAGAATGAGGGCCTTTTTGCGGGCAAGATCTATCCTCCTATCATGACTCAGGTCGGTCTCTGTCTGTCCTTCAGGCTTCCCGAGTCTTAAAGTTTGCCAACCTGAAAACCTCAAGGAGTTTCTAACTTGCTCGGAAATTCCCAGTTAACCTGTCTGAAGCAGGGGGTTTGAAAAACTGGAAGATATGAAATTTATTTTGGTTTGCCGAGTACTCCACGCTTTGCAGAGGCTTGAGTTGTACAGTTTCATATCTTTTTGAGTCGTAATGGTTCAGTAAGTTGAGCCTTATTGCTGGGCACAGGGAGATAGATGGGTTTAGATGGGACGTGCAGGGAAAGTTGTTAGCACAGCTGCTTTTTACTTTTTTTAGTTTGCGCATATTTTTGTTTCCTGAGGAAGTGCGCATAGTGAGTAGGAAGCGTTGTGGGTGGCCCGCTTTTGCGTGGGGCGGCTAGTGGAGAGGTTGGGCGGCCCGCAGGTGGAGGTGCCGGACCAGCGGGACGCCAAGTACGTGGAGGCCCAGATCCCGTTCCGGGACATGATGGCCTTTGTGGCCGAGCAGCCCGAGGACCTGAGCAAGTTCCTGGGCCTGGTGCGGGACGGCCAGGGCCTGCGCATCAACGGGGTGGTGGTGCCGGCCGAGCCCCTGGACGCCTTCCAACCGCGGCTGCCCCTGGCCCAGATTGGGTGGGTCCTCCCAGAGGGGTCTCGGACGGCCCGCAGGGCCCCTCGGCGATTGGCGGCGCTTGGTTAACGTCGTCGCGACGGCCCGCTTGGTGCCTCGGTTGGACGCTTCTGGAATGCCACTCTTGTTGGTCTTGGCCACGGAGCTGTTGCTATTTGATTTCCAGCAAATCTAAAGACCCGTCGAATCTGAATGTGTTTTGAACGGTGGTGCCCCCGCGTGGCAACCTCTGGATTCTTGCAGCCCTCTGGGGTTCCGGGGCTACATCCAGTCGATGCTGCGCGCACCGGATGCCATGATGCGTTACCTGTGCAAGCAGTACCGAGTGCACGACGTGCCGGTCGGCGACGAGCGCGTTGAGAACCACCTGAGCCAAATCAAGTCGCTTGGAATCCGCCGCTTCTACACCCACAACCAAGTGGTGAGCACCCTCCTCTCTCCCCGCTTCCAAGGGACTGGGCGCTCTGGCAGACCGCTCTTTCTGGCTTTTCACTAAAGGTGGACAGCTGCACCGTGCAATGGAAGTGTGCTACAGGTAGATCAGTTCTGTTGGTTGCTGGTTTTCACAACAATCCCCTTTACGAGACACACTTTCCTTTTCTTCCTTCCCGAATGAACACTCCACATGGAGCCACGCTAAAGGATCTTTCGGAGATGTCCGTTTCACTCGTCTTGCCAAAGGTAGAATAGCCTTCATGTACGAAGGAAAAGATTGTCCTTGAAACTCGTTGAATGTAGACATACTCCTTGCATTCCTCGAAGACGAAAATCCACAGGCTCGGCGAGCTTCCGCACGGTGGAGCCAGCGTGGAAGAAAAACCTGCCGGTGGTCGCGGACATCTGGGGAACTTGACGTGTGTCTCTGTATTTCTCGCGTAGAGAGGAGTAGATTTGCTGGTTTTACAAACACGCGGAACCTCGTGCTTGGCAATGGTGGACTAGTTGTCTTTGTGGCCTATTCGCCTCGTGGTTTGCATTCGGGATTGCACTTTTTTCAAGTTTTCACTTTTCCCACGCTTCCAATTTGGGCGTGAGGAGATGCCTGGTGGAAAGTGCAAATTCCACTCCTTTAAACATTAAAAGTATCGCTAAGTCATACGAGTCCACAGGGGCTGTTCATAGACGGTGCGCTGCGGATTGCGTGCCCTGCGGTCGGGCGTGTTGAAGCTTTGCTGGACCAGACGGCACGAGCACCCACTAGCAACGCGAGGCTCTTGCGTCCGCACAAAGTCCCTAATGAATCTCTTTGGGCCTTCCTAGAATCTTTCACATTTACTCGGAATTTTGGGTCAGATGTTCGGTACAAACCCTGGGTGTGCTGTGAGAGTGGCGTGAAAAAGAAATTGCCTATTGGCTGCCGGAGGAATTGCTTCAGTAGGAGTGAAACATAAAAACCATTAAAGTTTCCAGGAACATTTTTTCTGCACTATTCATTAGAGGTGTGTGAATATCAAAATCTTTTGAAGCAAATTGAATCGAATAATAAAGATTACGAATCGAATTGAATTGAATAGTTTTGAATAAGAACATTTTTTTAAACAAATATTTTCTGTTTGATGTGAATTAAACAAAAATGCTCTTTTCAAAACACAACTCGAATTTATTTTTGTTCTTTTCAAGAAACATTTATGAAAAAATTTATTGCAATAAGAAAAATGTCAGACATGGGACTGATAAAGCAGATGAAATAAAAGATCAGTCTGTAAAAAACTCCATTAAAGGACTAAAGTTACAGAACATAAATGAAAGTGCACAATTGGAAGCGGGTCGGCAAGTCACAATGTAGGCGGAGATTGCGTCGCGGACGAACGCAACCACGTGAACGTAAGCTCGAGTACAGAAGCGGTGGCGGGTCGGCAAGCCACGATACAAAGTCGAAGATCGCGTCGCGCAGCTGCACCGACTTTGTACAATCTCTTTTTATGCGGGTGAACGCAACCACGTGAATGTAAACGGAAGTACACGAGTGGAGACAGGTCAGCAGGCCGCAGCAGGGTCGGGGATCTTGCGATCGCGCTGCGCAGCCTCTGACTTTCCGCAACGTCTTTCCGCGTCCAATAGTTCTGCCGATAGAGGGCGCCACGAAAAAATAATAAATTAAGAATACTTTGTTGTTGTTTTTTTGGCGAAGGGAGCAAAGTTTACTTTTACCAGTGAAATTGGGTAGAAATAAACAACGGAAGGAATACTGGAAAACTGATGTGCTGCAAAAATCAAGCGGAAAACGACACGAGCCAGATATAGTCGAGGTGAGCCGTATGTGGCGACGAGATTCTTTGGTGGCGCCTCCTACCCCCCTGAGACGCAGCTGGTAGAATGCGATCAGACGATGCACCATGTCAAGGAGTGGCTATGTTAGTTCGCATCTATGCCGCTGAAAAACAATTTATTCATTAAAGAAACGTGCATGACATTTTTGTGACTGATCTTTCTAATAAATAATAGCGCATCAAATTTCCTTTTCATATTAGAAAAACTTTAATATGTTGAAGAACAAACCTGGAGCTTCACATTACAGTTTGCGCGGCGTGAGTCGGGGCTAATCCCAGCCTCTCTGATTCTTCTTTTTTGGGATCTCTGGGGGCTGCTGGAGAAAAGGGCTTTGCATTAAAAATGACCTGCTGTCTTCTTGGCTGTGCACGCGTGCACAGTTGTGTTGCAAAGCGACGCATACTTTTTTCACCAACATTGAGCTTGCCGATACCGACACTTCTAAGTGTGACTCGAAAGTTGCTGCCGACTAAATGATCAGCTGCTGATGCTTCTTTACCACGAATCGAATATGTGGCAAAGACTTTTGTCACATCACGAGTTCTGCTCAAAAGAAAAGCAGACATTTTCACAAATTTTTAAACTTTTTTTTTTTTTCAACGCTGATGTGTCATTGACTTACTAGGTTTGAAGGGGCCCTGCAATCATATTTAAGCGTTTACCTTTTTTGGCGGTTTCCACGTCTCTTGGGGTTCGAGCAAGCCAGTGGGCGCGGAGAGAGTAACTAAATATCAGTGCGTCATTTTTTAACCGGATGACGCGGAAACCTCCTCCACTTACGGGGGCGACTCGCGGTGCTGAATGCACGCGATATGTGAAGTCTTTGGTCCTGACTTTACAACTGGTCAGAGCCGCTAAAAGATTTTTTTTTTTTTTAGCGAAATACAAAATGTAAGTGGCGCAAACTGTTTCAATTATTTATGGTAGTAGTTTTTGTTCAATATTTTAGATCAGAAAAGAAATGTTGACGGTATGTCGACGGGTCAAGAAATGACCCGTCGACATACCCGCCACCAAGTGGTGGAAAAGGCGGCGCATAGTAGAAAGGAGTAGAAAGGAGAAAGGCGCCGACACGGAAAGGTCTCCGATGCACGCGACGAGCAGGTTTGTCTCGCGGTTTGTCCGTTTGGCGGTACGGCAGCGCAAAGTGGCTCCCGTTCTGAACAGATCTTTACCCCGTGTTTGCTGTCGTTTGTGGCCAATGAAGTGTCATGCCGAATTAGTGTTCAATCGCGCAGCAAATGCAATGCGAGCCACCCTGGCCGCCCGCTTCATCCAGCCTATCCAGCACATGCTTTAGTGGCACCCTCTCGCGCCGTCGACACGGAGTGCGGCAGCCGCGAGCACTCGATGAGCTCACTACCCCTCCTCTAGTTCATGGCCACTCAAGCAACCAAGGACGTCATGAAGGAGGTTATTTTTTGCTCGTTTTTGTAATTTTGATTTGCCTATAACTTTTAAAGTAAAGCGAAATTTGAGAAAAGAAAAGTTTCATCAAGTTTCTACGTTCAGTGCACTCGGGCTTGGCGCAAATTAAAAACCAGTCAAAAAGTTGTTGCAGGGCCCCTTTAAAACTTTGATCGCGAGGGGATCTCGCACATTTCGCGTCGGCCGGGCGAATTGGCAGGGATTTAGTTGAAACGGCTCAGGAAGCCAACCACCGCTCCTTCCTGACACTTATTTTGAGGAAATGTTTGTTTACTGGTTTACAGAATTTCAAATGGAATCAATTGGCAACTAATAAGAGACTAGCACTCCCAGAACACATTGGAAGCAACAGGAGACACGGAGTCCCTTTCACCGAAGTGTTGACTGCACACGCGAGAGGTTCTCGAATTTCACTTTCCTTTTTTCAATTTGATGAGACATTCCTATCTTAGTCTTACTTTGTCCGAATTATAATAAAAAAATACACCCTATTTGCTGTGATAGACGTTGTAGTGGGGGTAAAGTGCTCGATATTCTATTTTCATCATCCAGCTTTTTGTACTGGGGTAGAGAACAGCACACCACCATCCGAGCGCTTTTACACCTCAGAGCCAACAGTGATTGTTGGCACGACTAACCGTGTCACGTGCAGTTTCAAACTTTGGTGAAATGTCCTGCTACAAACATAATTTCACCTTAGAAACACAATGTGTGAAACAGGCTTTGCCGCGCGTTACCCAAACAGTGCATGGAGCGGGCTGACGAGCCGAGGGATCTAAGATCTGCGCGTTCTGTCCCAGTCTGTCCTACCCATGACGTCGCAAATGATGATGATGATGATAGCTAGATAAGTGCCCCCTGTAGTTTGCACACGCGGCCAATAGCACCTTGGCTACTGTAGTGACTGTTGCAAGGACTGTAGTGCGTGTGGTCCATCGCGTGTGTGCTCACGACGATGCACATGCCGCTGCAAATCGTAGTCCTTCATCAAATCTATCGCAGTGTTTGTGCTGCAACCACTTTGCCAACTCCGCAATCCAGACATCATGGCAAGCAAAGGACAGATCGCGCTACCGCATTCAAATAACTTTCCAATGCTTCTTACGAAAAAAAAGCAACAAAAAAGGCACTTAGGTTGGTTCTTTTGGGTTGGGCAAGCTCCACACCATACTGCGCAGTCCAAAAACAAAACAGGGAACTCGACCGTAAGTTGATACTAATCAGCGAGTTCCGCGTTATTCTTAGTTTTCGAAGTATTCGAAGAACTCCAATACTTAGATCAGCAAAAGTGCGAAGCGAATCGAATTGAATAGCAAGCATTATTTGCGAAGTATTCAAAGTTGTGAATATTTGCACACCTCTACTATTTATGTTTTGCACTTGGTTTAGTTTTGATAAGACAATAATTGAACTCCATTAATAGCACGCAACAATAGTCTATGTCAGTTTAAAATGACGTTTACATATTTTATGTAAACGTCGTAACTTCCAGATACTTTCGCAGAATGGTTTGTTTGCAGTGAAACATTCATAAACTTGGGTCATGTGAATAGTCGACTGTGAATTAAATTAACTGACTTAGATTTCTCAAAAGCCTTTGACAAAGTTTTCCACAAACTCCTTCTTCATAAACCACAATCACTTAACATTGGCTCCTGTGTATTAAATTGGATTCATGCCTTTTTAACTAACCGCCTACAATTTGTTACAGCTAATAATACAAATTCGTGTACTGTTCCAGTAACCTCGGGCGTCCCACAGGGATCAGTGCTTGGTCCGCTCCTCTATCTTATATACATTAATGATTTGGTGCAGAACTTGTCGTCTTCTATTTGCCTCGTTGCTGAAGATTGCGTAGTCTACCGGAAAATAAGTGATATGTCTTACTCTATTCTTCTACAATCTGACCTTAATCGTATATCACTGTGGTGCGACCAGTGGCTAATGGAACTTAACACTAACAAATGCAAATCGATGAGAGTGTCACGTGCTCAATCGGTGTGTCATACTTATCACGTAAACAGTAACCCCCTCGCTTCAGTGTCTGTTTACAAATATCTTGGTGTTCATATAACTTGTAACCTTTCTTGGAAGATTCATATTGAATACATAATTAACAGAGCTAACCGCATGTTAGGATACTTAAAAAGAAATTTTTTCCTCGCTCTGTCTTCATTAAAACAATGTACAAAACCCTAATCCGTCCAAAATTAGAATATGCTGCTGGTGCGTGGGACCCCGCTCACTCGTCACTAATTGCTCATGTTGATTCCATTCAAAACTGCTCAGCTCGTTTTATATTGACAAGCTATCATTGCACTGCCAGCGGCCGATAAATCTTTCATTTGTGTCTTTTTCGTAAAATATTTCATCAAAAGGTTACTCTTTGTCATAAACGAATTATTCCACCATTCTACATATCTGCTCGCATTGATCATAGCCATAAGGTTGGTATTTCAAATCCTAAAACTTCATTATTTCAATATTCTTTTATGCCACAAACATCTATAGACTGGAACCCACTTCCCGCCTCGATTGCTAACTTCACTGATATTGTTATGTTTAAACATGCTATTACTAATATGTGCACTTTATAGTTAATATTTTACAGCTCTCTCCCTTGTTCAGTGTACTTAACTTGAGTGTATTCGAAATAAATAAATAAATAAATAAGTGCTGCCAGGTATAGTATAGTTTTCCTGATGCAATGCGAACGTATCACGAGGCATCTGCTGTCTCGTAAAAAGAGTCCATGTTGAGAAGATGTATGCTAAGGAACGCCTCGCTTATATTGTATCGAGAAAAAAGGTGTTGTTCAAGGGCGCCAACCTTTCAATTGTTTCCAAAATTTTTCTTTTTCCCAAAGAAAGAAAAAAATGTTGCTTGAAAACCACAGCCAGGCTTATAGTTTGGCTCGGAAGTACTACACGCTTACACTGCAGAGGGTTTGCATCTGCGCGTATATTTTGTTTGGTAAGGTAATAACGATTTATGTTTGCTGACATTTTGGTTGCAGTCTGGTGCCATTTTTGGAATGTGTATGGTAACTGCCGGGATTTGTCTGTATCAGCATTATGTTGACTCTCGGGAAAGAGCGATAGCACTCACCCTCCTCACGAAGCCCTCGCTTTTTGCAATTGCTACTGCAGTACTCGGTGAAGACGTCCCGCTACGACTCTTCCAGAAGTTCGACCATGACGACTGAAATCACGTGAGCCGTGTTTCTTTTTTTGGTTAAGCGACGCAGATTCTTTGACAGGTCTCTAGATAATATTAGCACCCGTGAGTCCACGTTGCCAAGTCAGAACTGAAGAGATATTGCGGGTGATTGCTCGAGAAAGTTTTCAGCAGAGAGGCTAGGCAGACAGTGAGTCCAGGAGGATGTTGGGAGTGCCCCCCGTGTGCCTTCCCCGCAGGCAGCCCAGCCTGCTCACAGTCTCTGTGGACATGAGCAGCCTGAACCACCTGGAGCAGAGCAGACAGGTGGGTCCCAGAGCAGTCGGGTGGGCCCCAGGTTGAACCTCTGCCCCGTTTCACCAAGGCGCTGTCCGAGGAGATTGCGTCCAAGAGCGCGGAGGTCAAGGAGCTGTCTGGCCAGGAGAGGGCGGCCTCGTCCAAGCTGGAGGAGTGCAGGACGGCCAAGGTGAGGCTCTTGGCTGCCGTCTGGACCGCTCTCTGCAAAGGAAGTTCCTGGACAGTTTGGGAGCGCAACGTTACGAGACACTTCTCAAGGGGGCAATTCCAGAAGGGGCTTCTGTGACGTCCACCCCCAAGTAGAAGCCTGTTTTGGAATGGCTCAAATGAGTTTTTCAAATGTTGCACTGACATTTTTCTTTAAGAGGTTCATTTCCTCACCTGTGTATGCCCAGGCAAAAAAAAAAATTTTTGTTGGAGTGCTTCTTTTGAAGAAACACTAATCCTAGGTTAAAAATATGTTTTCTACCTGCTTAGGACAGGCACGTCCAAAATAAAGGTTTGTTGAATTTTTTTTTTTTTTTTACCAATATTTATTATATTAATGAATATTTTGATTTGCAGGCGAAACGGAAATTGTACCCTTGTGGGATGATGATGGTAGCATTTGTACCCAACTAGTGTGCCCTCCGTGGCCCAGCCTACTCTGAAAAAGTTGGGGTCTGTGTGTGTTGCCCTAGAACTTGGTCTGCCTCATCGAGCGATGAGTCTCCCAGCTGTAGATGAGCAATTTAGCCAGTGCAGTACAACAACTACTAGCCTGGGGTCTTTAACGTGCACCACGCAGTAGTGATACACGACTGCACGCCGGTACGAAGCTCATCCAGATCGAAACGGGCAGGGGTGGGGATTGAACCCAGGATCCTGGGGTTCTGCAGCGCGAGCTTTCGCTCCGCATGCTCCAGCCAACTCTGAGTGCACACTGGTTAAGTACAAATGCTATCATCATCATCCCACAGGGGTGCAATGTCAGTTTCGCCCACAAATCAAAAAGTTTGCGTTGCGAAATATATATATATAGGGTTTGTTTTTTAGGCAGGTAGGAAAAAATAATTTTTTCTCAAAGTTCAATGTTTGGGGCACCCCCACAATTTTGTTCAGCTGCCCAAACTAACAGCTCCATTTTCTGGAGACCTGGCCTTAACCCTTTCTTCCAGCATGGTACTATCTAGTATTTCTAAATTGAGAATAGTTATCGTGAAATGGGCAAAGGAAGGAGATGCCAAAACCAACATGGAAATATACCCACGCTTGTTGCGGGATATCTCGCGTTTGTCAAAAGAACCCGGGAATGTTTTTTTGGCCCGCTTCGTACGATTGTAGTCGCCTTTGTGACTGCATACGCATTCGGAGACAACAGTCGTCAGTGAATGGACAATGGCGATGATTATAAATATGTTGGCACTCCAGTTGTATGCAGCACATGCGACAGTGTCAAACTCTAGCGCTCTTTTGGCGCCTGTTTTTGTGCGTACAAAGCTTAGCGCGCTGCTAAGTCCGTGCGTCTGTACATTTGATAGCCTTACACACAACTTGTTTTTGAAGAGGAGCTCTTGCGTTCTGTAGTGTGCGTACGAAGAATGCACAAAACACGTCCGGGGGGGAGTTGCCAAGTTTGTCTTTGGGCCCAAACGATGAAGAGTAGTTTCAAAGCGTCGCACACGCGCAGCAAACACCATTCACAGTCGGATGTCCCAGCTTTTCTCCCAACTGAAATGCATCCAGCCACGTTTGGCGGCTGCCCCCGGTAGTCGACCCCTCTGCCTGCCTTGTGCGTCGAACAGAAAAATAACAAAACGAGGTCCTAGCCGGAAAAAGACACGTCAGGTCCAGTCTCTGGCTGCTTGGCTTAAGCGCGCGCATTGAGGGAGAAATGGAGAACTGTCGTCCTCGACGCTCAACTGTAGAGAAGGAGAAAGCGCACCCCTCGACGCACATGTTTCCTCGGTGTGAATGCGCTTTGGCAATTTCCCAGACGTTCTGCATCGTATCGTGCAAAATTGACTAAGTAATGTTGCTGTGTCCCTGATAAATTTTTGCACTGTAACCTTTACCCTAACTAGGAGTCTGCGCCATCGATTTGACTGATTTTAAGCGTCATGTTTAAAAGTGGGTCCCAACCCTTTGAAGTCGTCGCTATTAAATTTCCCGTCAAAACACGAAATCGCGCACACCCCGAGAGTTGCTGCTTTTTGTTAGTAGTATGTCTTTGGGGAACTTGAGAGGATCAGAAATCGGTCAGCCGACGGAAAAGCTCTGTGAAGCATTTCCAGTTCAGAATCGAAGACTGCCGGTATGTCGCAGAAGCGGGCGCACCGAAGTAAGTCGGAATGGAAGAAAGGTGCCAGTATTTTCCCCTCAATCTTTGCATCTGATGCTTCCCAACCCTAACAGCTGGCAAGCACCGTGCGTGTAAGGAATAATAGCGTACATTGTCTCTGGACCTAACCACTGGGAAATGTTCTGAAAAGCCAACTGTGCAAGGGTTGGAAAGAAGCCTCCTGGCCTCTTTCAGAAAGGGCTGATGGCCGAGGCCGGGCGGCAGAAGCAGCTCGGGCTGCTGCTGGACCAGAAGCGCCAGGCGCTGCAGGTGAGTGGCCTTTGGGGAAGCCAGGCTGCGAGCCTGGCGTGCGCAGTCTTTGCAGCGCCAGTGCCTCGACCTGGACCGGGAGCGTGCCGAGGCGGCCAAGAAGCAGGGGAGTCTGTGCCGCACCAAGATGGTCCAGGTGGCCAGCTACGTTCAGAGACTGCAGGTGAGCCGCTTGTTGGCCTCGACTGGGCTGCCAGTGGTCCTGGAGGTGAGGACCTTCCCCCCCCCCAGGCGTGCTACCAGAGCCACCGGTTGTGCGTGGACCATCGGCTGGAGATGCTCAAGGTGGCTGCGGACAGGAAGAAGCTGGAGGATGCCCTGCAGCTGGCCCTGGAAGCCCACCAGGCGCTGGAGGTAAGTTGGCCCGCTCCCGTGGCTCTAGCTGGTTCGGCCGCCGTAGCTTTCCAGCTCGGATCAAGGGACTGCCAGCCCAGGAAAAGGGGAAAGAGAGCAAAACCAAGACGGCATTAGAGAATGCATCGGTGAGGCTCTGTGATTCTCAGATAGGAGTCCCTGAAGGCAACACCTCCTAGAAGAGAAGGCCGTAGCGCTCTTCTCGTGACGTCGCAAAGGAAGGCCATTGGCGGCGCGCATCGAAACGAAGGTAACGCTCGTGGATCAACCGTCGTAACGCGCTTTTACTCACATATGAGTGTTTTATTCGCTAAAATGAAAGCTGCACGCAGCAACGGGTCTAGAAAACATTGTTACACGGGCAAAACATTACACCGCTAAATAATCGGTACAAAATGGCACGCGGTGTGCGTGTAAGACGTCTATAGAAAAATGTGATTGTTTTAACTCGAAAACATCGAGTCACGCAATTATTGCTGTAGGAATGCATATTTTATACAGAAATGCTTCGACAAAATGGCGAGACACGCAGTGATTGGACACAGCAAAACAAATCACAGTTAAAAATCGGGTAGACGTAGTCAACGCAGACACGGCTAGACAAGGGTCACTTACGATCGTGTAAGCGATATTATCGCATGCAGTCACTGAATTCTTGCATCATACCCCGGCCACATGGCAAAAGTAATGTAATTTTGATCGAATGACATTATGGGGTTGACAAAACAGCTTGCGACGCTCGATAAATCACTCAAGACCGCGGGCTGATTAAATCCCGTGTAGTGAAAACTAGTGAAAAAATAGTGAAAACTAGAAGATTCCCACGCATATTTACAAATGTCGACGCAACTGCATACGGATAACGACGGAGAACAAAATTCCATTCTATCACGAAAAAAAAAAAAAAAACGACGACCAAGAAAGCTTGTAAATAAGTTGTTTCTCACCTGTCTATCGTATCCATACGTCCCACAGTATCGGGCATGAAAACATTTGAGCACAAACTCCGAAAAGTCTCTCCCTGTCGAGAGAGGGGTCTATCGTTAATCGACCAGTGTCATCGTTGACTAGTTGCCGCACATGTCACTCAAACCGTAGCAGGACTTGTTCCGCGAATCCACGTAAATGCTTTAGTATCAAGTGAACACAAAAAACTACCCGAGACTGCGGTGACGACAGAAAAACGACGGAAAGGAAACAGGTCTCAAAAGAACCACCCCCAAGAGCACCGGCAGCAGGACGAGAGGCTTAACGTTGTCGACCCATCTCTTGCTCGTGTGCGCTCCCTGCGGCGATGACTTGATTTTTTTCGGTTCCCTTCCTTTTTGAAAGTCTTAGCGTTCCTTTTCAGACAGTCTGCAGCTCGCAGACAACGTAAATTCGCCAGAATCGGAGCCCGTACAGGGGAAGAAAATGTCGCACCGGACCGGTTCATTCGAAAAGTGTGGGTAGCTGCTGGACTGCGTGTAGTTCCGCGGTTACGGGGATAATCATAAATATAAAATTGGTACTTCCAACCTTGGTAGCGCGTTGTATATTACGTTTATATTATACATATCATAAATTGCACAAGACTGCGCTTTTAAAACATATATTAATGTCGGATAAACGCGCACGAACACCGTGCCGTTTGACAATAAACATTTTTTTCACGTCGATGCCACTCATTTTTCTCACGTAGTTGCGCCATGGCCTTTCTTCTCCGACATAGTGACGTAACCACTCGGAGCGCTACGGCCTTCTTTTCTAGGAGGTGTTGCTGAAGGCGTCCTTGGGGTTCCCAGAAGCCTCCTTGGGGTGCCCGATGCCCTCGCCCATGAGTCATGCTAGGCAATAAATGTTTCTTTTATTACTGATGCTGGCTATTCCAAAAGGTAGTAGAGCCAAGTAAGGTTGATTATTCTTCGCTTCAAAGCTTAAAAGTTTGTATTTTTTGCATGTCCCGTCCCCCGCGGTGGATGGGGTCCCCCTCCGCCCATTTATAAGGGGTCCCCAGAACACGAGTGGTTGAAAAGCACTGTCCACCATGGGAACAGGCTCTGCCGTAGCTGCTGATCTCAAAGATGGAAGACCGCTGGACGCACCAGTCTGACGGTTTTAAAGGAGTACCCTGGAATACAAGAAGCGGCTGGTGTCGAGACGGCCCAGAGCCTGTGTCGTCTGTCCCTCTCATTTTTGTGTTCCTGGCAGAAATGGACTAAACCATCCAAATGGTTGGTTAAGCCAATTTTAAAATGCAAAGGGGTAATGATGATAACGGGTGTGTATTAGCTGCGCATTTTGTTCTCTCTTCTTAGTGTTGAATAACTGGGCGAGAGAAAAGAGATAGGGCCGCTTCCAGGGCGTACCAAGTGTCGGCCCGATTTTACGTCCCCTCTTGTGGCGAGAGGGGGGGTTTCCAGAAAAGTCTATCGAGTTCCCCAGACGCGAGGTTTGTTGCACTAATGGGAAGCGTTGTCGGCTGGGTGTGTGCTCTGGGCGAGGTGTCTGATGGCCTGGAGCGTGTGCCCTGTGTGCAGAGCGAGGTGCGTGCCCGGCGGGAGTCTGTGCTGTCTGCCAAGCGGGAGGCCCAGCGGAAGCTGCGCCAGGCCCAGGAGGCCATCGGCTGCCCCACCAACATCTCCCAGATTCCCCCAAGCGTCGCCAGGGCAAGGACACTCTTGGAGTCCCTTTGGTGTTCTCTTGCTCTCGCCTCCTGGACTAGTGTTCCCCATGACTTCCAGAAGGTTCTTTTGTCCTTTTAAAGCGACAGCTCGAGGGAGCTCGTGTCGCAGAAAAGCCGTGGGACAATCCTGACTGGTCGATAGGATCATGATGTCACAGCCACGTGACATTGCGCAGGAATTTCAAACAACCCACAACGCTGACGTTAAACACGACGTCGCGCGTATATTGAAAGTGATGAAAACATGACATGTAGTGCGAATCGAAGGTCGCCACATGTCTCAAATGATTTCCCTTCATAAGGCGGGGGTTTATACGTATGTTTAGCTATCGCATTCCACTCTTAAAGAGACACTGACAGGGTATTTATGCTAGTCAAGGTTTTTATTTTTACATGACATATGAGAAGTCCGGCTACCCAGAACACAATTTGCTGCTCGAAATTTGTTTTCTTTCCACCCGAAAACTGCCAATCGAGAACTGGCCGGTTTAAGTCGCACTCACTCTCTTCTTCGTTGTCAAGTGCCGGTTTTTATGGTTTAGATGCAATCACCAAAGATAATCAAAGTCCTGGGTCATCAAAGGCACACACTCAATATTAAAAATCTAAAAGAATATGATACCCATTTTTTGTGGTTTCTAAAAAATTGCAAATGCGTTGGTGGAAAAAAAAAAAATGATTGCATCTCCACGTGGTGAATGATGTTGATTGGGCGAAGCTCTGGTGGTGCTTGTCTGCGTAGACGCTGAGCCGCAGCATGCCAAGCCTTTCGTTTGTTTTCATCCATGTCAGAAAGAGATTGTATGGTATGGAACGTGGTTATATACACATTTGAGCATTTGACCGCAGCGCCCTCTCGTCTATAAACATTAGCCAATGCATGCAAAGTTTAACGCGATTATATACGCATTTGACCGCAGCGCCCTCTCCTGTATAGATGTTGAGCGGCTACATGCAACATTTCATCCATGACAGAAACCCCAGCTCTTGAGTTACTACCACATCTCGGAGCCCCCTACTCGTCCCGCAGTCGTGGCCGAGTGGTTAAGGCGATGGACTAGAAATCCATTGGGGTCTCCCCGCACAGGTTCAAATCCTGTCAACTGCGCAAACATTTCTTCTTCTTATTTTCTTTTTTTTTTCATCTTTTTTTTTTTTTTTGCTTTACACTAGCACGTGAGTTCACGAGCACGAGCACCAGCAAGATCAATGTGAGCACAGACGCCAGACGAACAAGGCTAGACCCTAAGGAGCTTCGCCTTTAAAAAAAAAAAGTTGCACTGAGAGCTTGAAGCACTCAAGCATTCTCCAAGTTATTGTCAACATGGCGTCGTATTGCGGGAGCGCTGACTGGACAGCTGAACGAAGCGGATGACGGGCATGAAACCTCTACTTCAGAACTGTTGTTCATTGGCGAATCTGCCTAGCTTAGAGAAAGAAATTGTTTACCAATCAAAACAATTAGGATTTATTCCGTACGGCACGCCCGACCACCAAGCTGATTCACACGAAGATGTCGCCGTGTCATTGCCCCTTTTCTTGGCTGAAGACATCGCTAGTCTTACGAGCGCGAATTGGGAAGAGCTTGAAAAACGTGCAAACGTCAAGCACAAAGTGCTTGACGTTTTGCGTTTTGTGACTGCGACTGCGAGTTTTTTGTCAGCTTCGCAAAACCGGGAAAACAAAGAAAACAAAAAAGGGAATTGGAAACCGGAAGCTAGGTGACTTCTCTCCTCCTCTACATTTCTTCTTCCTACCCAGCCCAGTTTTGGTGTCAGTTTTGAGCAGTTGCATTTTTTACTTTATTAAAAATATATGTGATGCTGTAGCAAAATATTCATTGGGTAGTCTTCTGACATCATATGTATTAAATCGCTTGACAAAAAATTTCAAAAAAAAAAAATATTTTGGGGGTGTTAGTGTCTCTTTAAATGCGAAGCTTAAGCGTCGTGTAATTTTTTTGGTGTGTCCATTTTGGCTTGCACGACCACACTGGATGCATCACGTGCGCATGGTTCCAAGTTCTCGAGAGAAAAAGCAGTTGAGGATAAAAGAAACATTGGAGCCTAACCTTCAGTGTGTGCCGAACGGATTGAACCCACTTAATACGAATCACAGTTGAGGGTATGATTGCTGCTGAATGTTTCTATGAAATAAAATACATTATTATTATTATTATTATTATTATGGGTATTATTTCGTCTCTGGAGCTTTGACCACATGCGAGTACCTGGGCATTTGACAGAGATGCCCTGCACTTCCTGTCTTGTCAGTGATGATGGGGACTTAAATATTGTGTTCATTTTTTTTTAGGGGGGTTATTTTAATAAATACATGTCCTATTGAGGCAGCTAAAAGAGGAAAAAAAAATAATAAAGAAATTGAGAACTGCAGTGTTTTAACCCTTTAGCCACCAAGTTACTTTCGAAAAAAAAAATTTCTAAAATTTTGTAAACTTTTTTTTTTTTTTTGAAATCTTTTTTTTTACATTTTTTCAAATTGTTTAAAAAAAAAAAAAAAATTGGAAGAAAAATGGCTGGACAAGTGTGACTCGTCGTTGGCAGAAATGGTAAAACGTTCCATGACGAGTACAGCTCGGGCCGGGTGGTTAAAGGGTTAAGGCAAGTTCAAAAATCATTTCATGACCCCTTTAAAATTACAGCATGTTTCTTAGCTTAGCGAGTCCAGCTGGATTTTTTAAGATGGCATATTTATTGCCCACATGCTGATTTTGTGTAATCATTATATATTTAAATGTCATCAGTGTGCTCTTTGATCTGAATTGAGGACTGCACAGCATCACGTTTTGTACTCAAAATTTTTTATCATTGTTTCAGTGAAAATTGGGTCAATTCGGTACCTGGACTAGCCATTCACACATGTTCATGCAATGTCCTTCATCAATCAGTATATGTTTCAAAAGTGACTGCTGCAGCTTTATTTATTGTGGCTCTTCCTTGTTCTAGTGTCTGGTGCTTTGAAGAATAAGTGGACAGGTAGCTTGGTGTTTGAGGAAGTGAAGCGGCCCACTGAGCAGTGGATGTTAATGAATGGCTCCGCCGAGGCAGGAGACCAAAGAAGGATTTCTTGGAGAGGCCAGCACGTGAATCTTGCGCATCCATACTATTCGGATTGGAAGGAACGAAAGTATCCTGTATGCGTGCGCTCCAAGCATCCTTGCTGGTCCAAAACTGACTTGCTGCTCCACAAGGTGCTCCAAAACGACTCGGACCATTTGCATCACTGGATGTATTTGAAGTCGTTTAGACTCAATTGGCACACACAGTTGTCTTTTGTAATGACTAGCACATGTAGACGAATTCTGAGCGCTAGTTTTCTAAAGTCAAGAAATGGCTTTGGTTTATTAAAGATGGCATTGTGGAAGTTTGAGAGGTCTGGTCGAAGAAGTCTTTGTCACGGTTCCATTGCAGGAGTTCCTGCAACTGCCCAAGTCAGTGGCCGAGATCACCCAGCAGGTGCATGCGGAGGAGGCCAAGCTCAGCTGCATGCTTCCCGTCGACAGTGCGGTGAGCTCTTGGAAGCGCCAGCCTGCCCAGTTGTCTCGAGCCTCTTTCTGACCCTCGTCAAAAGGAGTTGATTGATATACACAGCCATTGTCACAAACATAGCTAAACTCGAAAGAGGATTGCAGCTAGGTTTTCCAACTGATATAACAGAACTGATAGCATCACTGAAATGATTACCGTAAAATCCCGCCAGGCTGCCCTCCCCCGAGAAATTGCCCATTTTTCTGGCAAAATATCTAACACAAAAATTGCGAATCATCGCCCACCTCCCGATTGCCGTCGGACATTGTGCAATGTCAGACGGGAACCAGATCAACTGCGCGATCTGCCCTGCTGGTGCGTGTGACGAGCGAGTTCCTGCGTTCTTATCCAAGATTTGCGCACGTAATAATGACTCCTCTGACATGCGAGTTTCTTGTCCGTGATCTGCGCGCGCGATATCGGTTCCAGTGTCACGGGATTTTTAACCGGTGCTTCTGTGTTCATCATTAATTTTTTGATAAAGTGTTCCTGTCTCGTCTCCAGAGATAGCCCACCTCATGTTTTGCACCATTTATCTCTTCAATTTGGGCGGGTGCCTTTACGGGATTTGACGGTATTAGTAGTTGATTAGGCCTTGGAGCACCTGAAGCTAGGCACTGAGAAAAGAGGTTTTGGTATGGGATATAGAACAATTTAACTAAAATAAATCGCTCTCTCTACGTAACTCCAGGATCACTAGTAAACGCTCATTTTAATGACAAAAAAATTATTGGGCAAGTTTTGTGCGTGGAATGATGCATTAAATTTTTTGTTTTTTCTCAGGATAATAAGTGCACGGAATAAACTGCCCAAACTTGCCGTCGACAGTGCAGAAGTCGAAACATTTGTTGCAAATTTGAGTTGTGCCCTCGTGAAAAACCTTCTAACTAATGAACTCTTCTATCGTTGTATCGCTGTTCCTGATGTTTTTCTCTGTGTCTTTTTATGGCCCCTGACAACATGAGCTGAAATGCGCAATGCTCCATTATGTCTGGAATTGTGAAATAGTTGAGGGACCTAAGCTTTGCATTCCACCGAAGCTTCTTTAGAAACTGGCTGGAAAAAAAGGCATGGAGGGCTGTTGGGGCTCATGTTGTCCGCAGTAGTTGACTCCCACTTGGACTCTGATGAAACTGGAGTAGGAATCATTTGGGATGTTTAGGGAAGTTCTAACAACCTCGGAGATGTTTGAGTTGTGCTCCGTCTGCCAGCACGGAGGAGCGAGCCGTCTTTGGACCGCAAATGCGCGGGCGTTGCAATGGACGGGGGCTTCTTCCTTGCAGGTGGAGCAGGAGTACCACCGCCGGCAGCAGGACATTACCCAGCTCGAGGGGGATCTGGGCTCCAACGAGGCACAGCTGGCCGAGGTGGGTCTGCCAGGGCACCCCACGGCTTTCACTTTGTCCCTGCTCTGAGTTGCCTCGTAGCTCCTGATTTTTTTGCTTTATAGAAATGGGTTATTGGAATGTGTGATGATTGTGTAAATTTCGGTCGTTCGGTGCAAGCCAATCCATGTGCAGCCAACATAGAATCTAAAATGGCAGCTTCTCGGTTGTGTTTCCCACTAATCGCTCGCGACGATTTTGTCCGGAAAATCGAACTTTCAAACTTCAAGCTGTCCGAAACATTGGTCGTGAATATGCACTATTTTTAAACGGGTACGTCACTGTTTCTCCTTTAGGTCCGAAATGTTGAACGAGTCTGAATTATCGGCGTCCGAAAAATCTGTCAGCGACTGTAGTTCCCATGCATGAGTCGATCGACGGGTCGATGAGCTCTAGCTCAACCTGACTCCAATGTTGCAGAGTAAGTGTGACCTTGGTTTCAAGGCACAGTAGAACCTCATTGATACGTTTTGCAGGGGACCGCGGAAAAGAAGCGTATCATCCAGGAAAACTTAAGAACCTAAAACGCACTTAGGGGTGCTCTACATGAGATAGAAAGCAGCTCTTATACGATGGTTTATTTTATGTGTACTTACAGAACTGTTGAGGACTCAGTCATGTTCACAAAAACACATAATATCCGCCTGCCGCTTCGAATTAATGTCAAAGGCCAACGACCAGACTCGAGGTTCTGCAGGGCAGAAGATCCTCCTCACCACGGGGGAGGAGGAAACAGGCAACGGTGGACTGGGTAAAAAGGGGGGAGAGGAGGAAGCGAGGGAAAAGTGGAAAGCGCGAACTGGTCGTCGGTCTTTAAGCACTAAAAGCCGTTTCTCCAGGAGCCGCAGTCCTCTCTCACTCTCCGCGGTGCAGAAAAAAAAACAGCAACAAAAAAGAAAGGAAAAGAGAACCCGCGCTCTCCGGCACGCAGGATGGACTGCACATGATGCTACAGACAAGCGCTTTGAGAGCGTGCACTGTCTCCGCGCCCGTCCATGTGCTATGTTCTCCGCGCTACTCCACGCCAGAGTGGTTGCACTGGCTCGTGTCATTCGCTACGGTCCATCTAAATGTCGTAGAGGAGCAGGTGCATGTTTGCGCACGTTCGGCTTTGCAGCAAAGGGCCCGTGTTTCGCCGTACCTTGGTGGTTTTTCTGCCGTGGTGCCGTGCAATGTGAGCCCGCGTGCATTCGCTCGGGACGAATTATCCGATGCGGAGTCTTCCAAAGTTCGAACTATCGAACTTTTCCTCCCATTGAAATGTATGGGCGCTGCTGGGACTTTTGAGCACGATGGAATTAAACGAAAAGTCAAATTAACCCAGGTGGAACTAACGAGGGTATGCAGAAAGGGAGCCCAGTAGCAGTGCTGTAGATTCCATGGTTGTGCTGGGGCAGGGGTCTCAAACTCATTGTAGTGTGGAGGCCAGATAGCCCCTTCCCGAAATGTTGAGGGCCAAACGGAATGGGGGGAAGCAGGCAATATTTTGGTATTTTTGGACACCAGAAACAGCAATGCTGGTTCGCATTGGCAAGCAGCCTACTCTCCCATCAACACCTCAGGGGTTTTCTATAGATGTTTTGTCAGCGACATCTTTTGCTTTGCTTATACGGCTACTTTGGGCCCGCAACTGATGTGATCAGATTTAAAACGCCAACATGCTGGCAGTTTTCAATAGAAGAAGAGCAATCACACTGTCGTTGCACTGTCGCACAATTCACTAACCTCGCCAGTCATGGTCCTCATACGACCGTTTTTACTCTCCGGATAATTTTTAATAGCGGGGTTATAAGGATATACTTGTATTTTCAAGGTCTTTTCTGATGGCCAGAAGCCGGAGCACGTAGCTTGATCTTTGGGAGTTGCTCCGGCTGAACGAGAGTTTTTGCGGCCGAGGTGCCTCTTTGTGCAAAGCTCGCGCTTGTAACCTAGAATAGTGGTATTGTCCTCCAAGTTGATTCACATGAGAGAGAGAGAGAAAACCTTTATTTTCGCTCCGAGTCCGGAGCTTCTTGATTTACATGAGAAAGGGCAGTCAATATTTAGACGAAGCAATACTGAGTTTAAAAGAAAATATTATATAATATGTGAACACGTTACAGAAGCAGAGCTCCTTTTTGAGTGGAACTGAATGGACAATAGGAAACTATAATTTATGGCGCATGTAGCGCTCTAGACATGAGAACGGGGACTTGGAGCTGCGAGATGCTTGCGGGCCGCGTCTTTGAGACCCCTTTGCTAGGGCAATGCCGTCGTCCTCCAAATCTTTGCACCGCCTACGAACAAACGGGCAACGCAAGGGGCGACAGCAATGGGAAGAGTGAAAGCCTGGCCAGTGGCACTATTACTCTCCCCACAGTGACGCAGTTTTTTGCACGGATCCCGCTATATTTTGCCCGGAAGGGGCAATAACAGCTAGTGGCGTAAAAAGTGACCAAATATTTTAAGTGAACACAAAAAGGTGAACGCACAATTTTATTAGGTTTGGTCAAGAAACGACGAAGAGAAGAGGGCTTCGTTTTGGGAATAGGGGTTTTGGTAAGAGTTGTTGGACTCGTCTAGTTTCGGATAGATGCATGGGAATTTGTTGCCAGGGCATGGACGAATCAGGCGCTTGCAGGTAGCAGAGGAGATGGCAGATGTTAGCGGCCGCTGGCTGCCCGACCTGGAACGCCTGCTGGAGCGCATCAACCAGGGATTCCAGCGCTTCTTTCAGGCCCTGGGCTGTGCTGGACAGGCAAGATGCTTGCTTTTTTACATCCAAAGACCAGTCGGGCAAGCTGCTGAGAAAGCTTTTAGGTTTAGAACTCACACTTTGCAAAGATTTAGTCCCTTAGAGTTAGCAGTTAGTCTCGCAGGCCTCGTACATCACGGTGAACAAAAAGGCCCCAGAAACTAACCTAAAGTTTCGAATGAATGCCCATTCGTGGTGGAGAGAGAAAAAACGGAATCAAGTGGTCAATCTTGCAGGATGCAGCAGCTCAAATGTTATAGACCCTTTCATGCAACATTTCATGGGCGCCGCCATCTTGACGTCACGTGACCCTGCCACCATAACCGCCCTTCAGTTTCTCGCCGTTCCTCCGTGTTGTGTGCTGCACCGGCCACTACCGAAGCTTTGTTTTCGCGTTCTTTTACGTTTCGCGTTGAGATTGTGTGTTTTCTTTAGGTCTTTTCGATATTTCGGGCTTTCATTTAATCATTTGATATCTATATTTCAACATACTGTAAAACCCTTAATGTTCGCGAGCCCTCAATTTTCGCGAATTTCACGAATTGAAGAATTCGCGAAATTTAAAGGCACGCGAAAATTTCGGTTCTTAAGAATTTCAATGCAGGCGTCTAGAATTCGCGAAATTTAGTGGTCGCGACTATGTCATCTGTGACCGATTCGCGAAAAATAGGGGCCGCGAAAATAAAGGGTTTTACAGTAGCTCTTGTATTTTCTTATTTATGAAATAGAATCGGACGGCGAATGGATCGACGATACAAGATTATGGCTTCAGAGACTATATAAGTTCATCCCATTCTAACGTTTTTCCCGCTAATAAAAGGCAGTCAACACCATTGCAACATATGTAAATTGCAACTGACGCAGTAAGGCTATCGCAGTCGTGCTTCTCGCTGCATGTGCGCGCTCGTTTCCGTAAAGCCGACCGGCATGTGAGCGATTTAGTGTGCGACGAGACGAGCGACGGCGACAACGACGAGAGTCAGCGACGAAGATTTCTCACTGTCGCCTGTTGCATTGCTCGGTTTTTTGGGTTTCTAGAAAATGTCGCTCACCGTCTTGGTCGCTTGCTCCCGTCGCTTCCATGCGGTTTGCCTCGTCGTGCGACTGCCCGAGCGACAGCGAATCGGGTCACTGTCGCTTGTCTCGTTGCTCGCCGAATCGCTTGCATGTGGTTTATACTTAATATCGAGGTGCCAATGGGTCAATGGTGTGTGCATGGAAATTAATTGAGTATAAACCGCATGTAAGCGATTTGGCGAGCGACGAGGTAGGCGACGGCGACCCGCTTCGCTGTCGCTCAGTCAATCGCGCCACGAGGCAAACCGCATGGAAGCGACAAAACAAGCGACCAAGACAGTGAGCGATGTTTTCTAGAAATCCCAAAACCAAGCGATGCGGTGGGTGACAGTGAGAAATTTCCATCGCTCGTCTCGTCGCACGCTAAATCGCTTACATGCGGGTCAGCTTTACGGAAACGAGCGTGCACATGCAGCGAGAAGCAAGGCTGTGATAGCCTTACTGCGTCAATTGCAATTTACTTATGTCGCAATAGTGTTGACTCCCCTTTATTAGCGACAAAAACGTAAGAATGGGATGAACTTACAAGGTCATTGAAGCCTCATAATCTTGTATCGTCGACCCATTCGCTGTCCGCTTTCATTCCATAAATAAGAAAATACAAGAGCTATGTCGAAATATAAATATCAAATGATTAAATAAAAGTCCTAAATATGGAAAAGACCTAAAGAATATACAAGATTTCAACGCACAACAAAAAAAAGAACACGAAAACGAAGCTCTGGTAGTGGCCTGTGCAGCACACAACGCGGAGCAACGGCGAGAAACTGAAGGTCGGCTATGGCAGCCCGGAAAGCGCGCGAAGGGTGCGCCGACTGGTGGCAGTTCGAGTAACTGACTCGCTGAAAGCGTTTATACCGTTGAATCCCACGAGAGCAAATACCACTTCACTTCATGGAAATTTTTGCGACAACGAAGTATTTTGAATTTCCCGTTCGTTGTCCGTGGTGTATAAAAAGTCTCCACAAGAAATTCTTTTCCAGTGCCGCTTCGCTTCACCAAAGTTTTCACACACAAAAAAAACTAAAGAAATATAAAAGGAAAAAAATGTAAAAATGATTACTATTGCGCTCGCAATGGCCAAAGCAAACACGGGTGCCACGCCAGCTGCATTTCGGAGGATGGAAACATTGACCCTGCTCGAGCCAAAAGTAACTCCTTTCCCAGTCCTCCAGTCTCTTCTCGATGCAGTTGGTGATCCTCCTGGTTCTTCTGGCTGCGTCCGCCGAGTCCGCATTGACTTCTGCCACCATCCCAAAGCCAAGAGCTGCTCTTTAACTTAAGCAAAAATGAGAAGAAGTAGTTGAAGCATTTGCAGCTGCATCAAATCACACTATGAATTGAAAGATAAAAAAAATTGAAAGTATACAAAGGGTGCCCCATAGCAACCACTATAACTGAGCTGTGCACTTTCCGCTTTGGACCAAAAAACGCCGCTAAGCATCCGCTGGTGATGAAAATAGAAAATGGGTTAAAATTGAAAGACACCGGTCTTAGCGACGGGTAATTTCTTGAAAACTCATCCCCCATAGAGGTTGGTCAAACGTAATACCTTGTGGATCCTGTACGCTTCCAGTGTCTATTCAAAGGTTGCTGTGGTCCTTGGAAGACACTGCCAACATGAGTGTGTCCAGGTCCACTAACCTCGGAGAATGCGTCTCTTCGCCTGGGGAATGGAGCTGCGTTCATTCGTATCTGTTTAGTTTTTAAGGGCTTCCAGCAGCCGGGTGTAGGTTTTGATGATGTAGGGGTTTTTCGCTGTATACTAAACAGTTGGTAACTACTTTCGAGCTTGTCTGGTGACCAACAATTGAGGTTGGCTCTCTGGCTACTTTTGGCTACAGATGCAACTATGGCTGCCAAATTTGAAAGTTTGAAAGCTCAATTCCATCAACCCAGAAAGGAGCTCCAAGAGCTGCCCAGACATAATAGGTCTGTTCGATTTGCCTGAACTGACTGAACTAGTTTAGCAGTGCAGGAACTGGCACATTCGATTTAACTGTTAGTTGCACGGCCGTTGCACTGGCGCATTCGATTCATCCCAGTTCTGAACAAGTTCAGACCCAGTTTCTCAAACTCTCGCACCGGCTCCGGAGTGCAGTTCAGCATCCGTGCAGAAGCAAACGACACTCCTTGTTGCTCTGCTCGCGGTGCCATTTCTCGCAGCTCTTGCTCAAATGTCTGCGATGTTTAACAATAACGTCGAGACGGAAATTATACTTCCTCTCATTTATGAAGATAACGTACCCATGGTGGATGCAGAATCGAGATCCTAACCGAGGGTAGGAATTTGCTCGATTATGATATTCTGAAAGCGTTTTACACACCTGCTCTTGCAGGTTTGGCTCCCTGTGGTGTGTGTTGAAAGATTGGCTTACATAAAAAGATTGGCTTACACATACTGACGACTCCGATAAATTGCAGAGGTCTGGGATTTAGTACATTGGCACTCGCGTGCCCTGTCGCTGACCGCCAAAATGACGGTCAATAACTGTTTTGGCCAAAATGCTCTCGTCAGGCCTTCGAAGTGACCGACCGACCGCTGCCGCCAGTAACTCTCAACACCATATCATCCTGATGCCGCGAAGCTATCATCGAAATGCAAAACTCGAGAGACTTGGAAGGACTTCACTATTGCTAAATGAATGTGAAGGGCATAAATGCTTATGTAAACAATTAGAAGCGGACGCCGTTAAAAATGCAAACAAACGCATTCCATGCAGAAAACATTGTTAGTACACTCAAACAAAAACATTCACGGAAAAGATTTTGTTTCTATACTTCAAAACTAAGGAAACGCGAATGTTGTCATCAAACGTGGCGTGGAGAAACAAGAACGAACAGATGCGGACGACACCCTTCGCTTCCGCTCCGAAAGCCGTTCAGAGCACCAGTCGTAACGCAGCTGCTGCACCGGTTCTGCTCCGCCGCTGCACGACTCCTGCACTCCTTTGACCTCGGACAGAACTAGTTGAGAACTTTCTGGCCAAATCGAACAGACCTAAAGAGAGTACCACCTTACTTTTTAAGACTCATGAGCTAGAATAGTATACCTGGCACCTGCAGCCAGCTTCTAGCATCTTTGACCATACAACTTGCCTAAACTTCAGGTAGGTAGGAGCGGCTGTTTCAAAGTATTCTTGCATCTACTATAATAACCGAGTGTAAAAATGGATGCTTCCACAGGAAAAGTGTATAAAAGTATGTTAGTAAAATTGGAACTCTCGAGTGTCCAAGTTCAGTCGCATCTTTGTTCACCGATAGTCACTGGTTTTAAGCTTGTTACATGTAATTTGACCAAAATACAACGGTGTTTAAAAATAATTCAACCGAAAAACATCCGCCGATTTTTCTCATTAAAGGAACACTGACACCCCCAAAACAATTTGTTATATTTTTATGGTGTCTGGAGACACCATTAAAAATTCATCGATTTATTATGGTGTCTGGAGGGGACTACCCCATCAATATTTGGCTACGTAGTCGCGTATATTTTTGATAAAGCCAAAACACTCAACTGCTCAAAACCGAAACATGTGCACGGAGGCTCGGAGGAGAGAGTTGCCAGAAGTGACGTGGCTCCCTGCTCAGTTTTTTTCCCGTTCCTCCACTTCTCAGGTGCGTGAAGCAGGCGACAACAATGAGAACTTTGCTTGAACTGTTTGTCGTGCGATTCTTTGGCATTGAAATCCCTTTCCCTCGCTGTTCTGCGCTTGAAGATTGATTGGCCGTTACCTCAGACAAGTTCCCAAGTAGCCGCCCCACGTCCGTCGCTATGTAGGTCTGTCGTCCAGTACGTTGCCATATTGAGAATGATGGGTACATAAACTTCCTGTGATCTGTGCAACATTTCTTCTTTTTTTTTTTTTTTTTTCGTCAATCAATGTATTTGCAGCATTTTGGAGGCCATAAAAATGGGGTTCATATTCTTTTCTATTTTTAATATTGAATATGATCTTTAGATGCCACGCGACCGTGGAAAATAGAGTGAGCGCGGCTGTTTTTGGGCGGAAAGACAATGAATTTGGAGCCGTAAATAGTGTTCTGGGTAGTCAGGCTCTTATAGGTCATGTTCAAATAAAAACCTCAGCGAGCATAAATACCCCGTCGGTGTCCCTCTAATAAACACCATTCCTAACTCTAACTTCTAGAAGGTAGAGCACTCTAGCTGGTGTTGTGTATTTTTCTGGTTCGTTGGAAAGTTTGCTTCACGGTGCCGATGAGAGAAGCTCTTAAATGCTTACCTTTTCTGGTGCCGTTCGGAGAAGCTGTCACGTGCGCTGGTGCATATCTTGGAGGATACATTTATTTATTTATTTATTTCAAAATACTGCGACCTCGATGAGGTCATCACAGGAGTGGAGAGAAAACATACATATACATTCAAAAAGACAATCGATTAAAGATGTACACACCCTACAAACAAAACTTAGAAAACCTTGAAAAATGCAATATCAAAAGATTACAAAAACAATCACATACACTTCAAGTACAGATTCCAGATTTAGTACAGATTTATTTTGTGCAAGGCCTTGGTTTGTAGCACTGCTCATCTTTTCTGCAGTTTTTGTGGCTTCCAGCATCTATATAACGCGGTTTATGAGAGCTTGGAAAGCTGTCGATAATTGGGGCCTCGGAGATGAAACTGTTGGAGCAGGAATTCGATGATGTCCTCACTTCTGTCCGGAAAAGGAGCTACCAATGCCAGCAGAAGGCCACATCTGAGAAGTGCCACCGCTGTACATAAATTGATTTCTGGTGGCTGAGCAGCTTAGAAAGCAGACGACTAAACGGGACCTCTAAGGAAAGAGTGGACTGGAAGAGAGGACGCTCCTTGCAGGTGAGCCTGTACCGTGGGGAGAAAGCCCACGAGTACGACCAGTATGGGGTGAACATCCGGGTCAAGTTCCGGGACAACGAGCGACTCACGGAGCTGTCGGCCGCCCACCAGAGTGGAGGGGAGCGCAGCGTGGCCACGGTGGTCTACATGATGGCGCTGCAGGAGCTGACGAGCGTGCCCTTTCGCTGCGTCGACGAGATCAACCAGGTAGGTCTGGCTGGTCACACCTCGTGCACGGACTCTTTGCAACGCTTTCTTGAGATCCTTGAGCGGTAGGTACAGAGGCCTCGCCCACTGGCGCAACCAAGTAGGCCTTTGACAACCATTGTGCGGTGTGCTATACAATTGCCCTGGTATCGACGGTCCTACCTCCAAGTATTGTCTGTGCGTTGACAGCAGTGCCACTCTCCACTTCTACTCAATGGGTGAGATAGGAGAGAGAGCAAATAATAAAAATATGTCAGTCCACGATGTGGTTAATGAATCGAGATGCCAGAGTGCAGCCAATATATTTTTTTTTTGTTCGAGTTGGGTTTTAGCAGTGGATCAGTGGAATCGCAAGTCCATTGATCCACTGCAGTTGGAGACAACATTTATAGCCTGTAGCGGACTATATTCTGGAAAATATGGTGCTCAATGGTCAATGTGTGGCCCAGTGGAACTTGTTATCATGGGCCTTACAGGGTTTGTGATCCTGTAAGGTACTTGTGTCGTGCAGCAGCAGGTCTCTTTCCCCAACAGGGCATGGACTCTGAGAACGAGCGCAGGATCTTTGAGATGATCATGAACACAGCCCTCCAGAACTCTGCACAATACTTTCTGCTCACGCCCAAGGTAGGACCTTTGTCTGCTTTGCATGCCGCCGCTTTTCCTTCAACATTTGTGGAATGTCTGCAGTTTGAGCGGGTTTAGGTCAAGTTTTTCGATACTTCCTTTTACAACTGACAACCGTCACGCATTTGGCAGAAAGAAAATGGCATCTCCATTTTGCTCCTAAAACCTTCATTGCCATGTGTTGGGCGCTTTGAAAAATGTTGGTATTCGTGAGAAGCACCATGTGCGCCTTTTATCCAGCAACTTTATGGTGCCACTGCAAATATGCTGCACCATGTACAGCCAAGCAGTGGCCACAGAAAAGATTATATCTTAGTTACATTTATTATGGATGACACCGTATTTCTAAAAAGATGTGGGTCACTGATGTGAACTATGTGGTTCGGCAGATTGTTACGATAGTTTGTTATAGACACGAGTGCCCGCCGAAATGCGTCGCCGCACCATCTAACGAAGCGCCGCCGCTCTCGACGCATTGCACGTGCAAATCCTTTTGTTCTCGCAGTTTTTTTGGCAAGCTTCCATCCCACGCGCACGGGATGATTAGTGCAAAATGTCGCTTTGTCGGTTGCCAACCTCTGCCTCAGCCACTATGACGGGCTGCAACATCTTGTCACGAGCAGCCAATAAAACTTGAGTATGATGATATCCCGAGTCATTGCCCACCCCCCTGCCACCTGTCATAAAAAAAAAAAGTTGGCTGAACCATGTCTCGGTGGATAAGTGCAAAAAGTTTAGAAAAGAGCGAGAAAAAAATGACCACTCTTCTGTACGTATCTGGCACGGCTGCACAAAAAAATACATTAAATTCAAAACTCTAATTAGTTTCAGTGTTTTATGCAAGAAATGCTCACGAAAGAACATTTTACTATCGCAAAGTCCATTCCTTGCATACGCGCGAAGAACACCACAGATCGGCATACAGTGCGAACGTTTGTTCCGTGAAAGCACATTACATAACATTGCCATGTTCTCTTCGTTAGTACAAAAAAAAAAAGAGTTGGCAAGAAAATGGAAAAACCAACCAGGCGCAATGAGAGAAAGCAGACGAGCGGGCGAAAGAAGCGACCAAGAGCAATAAGATTCTCTGTCGTGCTGTCAGTTTTTTATTTGTCCCAGTCTCAAGTTTTCTTTCAATGAAGCGGGAAAGCCGGCGATTGCATTGGCAAATAGAGTACAAACGAGCGTCTTGGTAACAGTAATCAAACATCAGGAAGATACATAGAAAGGGGGGGCGGACAACAATGACTTCCAACGAGCAACATTTATTGACCCGAAGTTTTCATATATAGGTGAAAGAGGGGAGGGTGAAAGATGCCAAAGTGGGAGGGAGAAAGCAAGGGGGAGAGGGGGGAGAGGCAAGAGGTGAAGGACAATCTTGTGAGGGTGACATCTAATCGCTTGGAGCTGCAGAAACGAGGGACGTCAGCTCTGGCCCCAAGAAGCTTATCTCCCCCCCCGGATAAGCCTATGGAGGGGGATCCGAAGTTGTTTTGACTGTGGAGCATGGTGAAAGCCTCCATAATCTCTCGTCCGTATCTTGAGGCGGCACCTGCTGCAGTGGGCAGCATTCCAGCAAATCTTAATTGGGGTCGCTGTGTGAGATTTTGTGTGAGATGGACTTTGACCTTCCACTTGCCCGAACAAACTTGTTTGTAAGCAAAACAAAGTTATTTTGTTATCTCGATCGCTTTCCTTTTGCCCGTATGTGCTCAGACTTCAGGGTCGCGGAAATCTGGGAGGAAAGGTAGAAACAAAGTGAGGTGTCATTCCCTCCTTTTGTTTTACTTTGCCACGAACGTCCTCCATCCGCAAGATCCGTGGCCGCATCATTCAGGTAGGATGAATGTTTGCGGTGTCCACATTTTGTAGGGCTGGAAGTGGATATTGGCCCAAAAGTGGGGTGGGCAATGACTCGGGATATTAGGGTAAGCAAGGAGGCAGCCAGCAGAGTGGTTGCCCCCCACTCTCCAGATGGTGGCACCTTGCACTGGACGCGTATGAAAGGAAGTGGTGGTACACCGTTGGAGCGATGCATTCCACCTGCCCCACAAACTATTCTAAGCTTGCACCGGTGGGAAAACGGAAAGATTACTTGAAACGCCCTGTGCCTCACTACATTGTCCCCTCACCAGTGACCAATGCGGCAGCAGTACTTTTGTGTGTGATGCGTAGCTTTGGCAGACCAGTTTCTAATGGAGAACATTTGCTGGGATGAATGGAAGATAGTTGAGCTGCTTGGTTTCTCTCGTTGGCTGCACAGCTGCTCCCGGACCTCCCGTATGCGGAGAATGTGACGATGATCTTCATCACCAAGAGCGAAAACTACATTCCAGACTGGAAACCAGAATCGCTCGCCGGTCGCGCCGTCGGCTTGGCGGCCCTGGCTAAACGCCTGTGACACATTGTTTCACCCAGCTGGTGACCAAAACATATTTTTAAGAGTGCTACATTGTTTCACCCAGCTGGTGACCAAAACATATTATTAAGAGTGCCACATTGTTTCACCCAGCTGGTGACCAAAACATATATCTAGAGTGCCACATTGTTTCACCTGGCTGGTGACCAAAACATATATCTAGAGTGCCACATTGTTTCACCTGGCTGGTGACCAAGACATATATCTAGAGTGCCACATTGTTTCACCTGGCTGGTGACCAAAACATATATCTAGAGTGCCACATTGTTTCACCTGGCTGGTGACCAAAACATATATCTAGAGTGCCTTTTTTTATGAGTAATAAAACTGGTTGTAATAATGGTAATAAAATTTCCCAACTTTCTCTAGTTTGGCGGTGTTTATTGTGTCCAAGAACTAAAAGAAGGGGAAGGAAAACAAGCAACATTTTGGGCACAAGCCCATCGTCAGACTGTGGGAAGGGAAATCAAGGAGGAGAATGTGAGCTGTTGGAACAAGACTCCATTAAAATGAGAAGGGCACAAGATGAGAGAGGCTATCGTGAGGGCCAAAGCTAGTTAAGGGGGACGAGGGGTCGACTTCAGAGGAAAGAGTGTAAGTATTATCGGCCGACGGCGAGTCCTAAGCCATTCAGGAATTCAGTACAGAGATTGAAGATCATGAGGTTTTCAGCTAGAGCGGAGGAAGCCAGATTTAATGACGTGCATACAGAGTTCATTGTGTCCATTTTTGGAGAAGTGGTCGGTTAGGATCTCGTCTCTGCAGGTCAAGAACGAAGTGGAAGCTCCCCCACCTCTTTCTACTTCAGTAGAGTGATCGCTGGAGAGGAGGCGACCTCTCCACCGTTTGCTCCGCTGAAGTGGAAAGGGGTGGGAGGGAGCTTCCACTTCGTTCTTGACCTGTTACTGATTCAGGGCTACGAGGCAGCAGTGCTCTCGGAAACGCTAATGCAGCTTTCAGTTTTGCCAACATAAAAAGTGTCTGGGCTTATGCTGCAGAAAGTTACGTAAGCGAGCAGATTTGCAGGTATGGTTGGTGAGAACTTGCCCGCCAACCATGTCATATCTCGCCCCATTCTTACCTTGTGAAGAATGGGGCGAGAGTATCCTCCGAATCGGAAAAAATGTGGATACAGGGCCTAAATATGGAAATGGTCATTGTCACTGCAAAGGCGTGGAAGGCGGAGAAATTGTGAAAATGGGATGGAGCCGATTTGGTGTAGAAGGTGGCAAGAAAAGTTGTGAAGATAGCTGTGCAAGTGAGGCTTATAATGAACGGATGTTTTAAAGTGGTTGTCGATCGAGATGGTGAGGTCAAGGTAGCAGAAGTAGAAACTGAAGAGGTGAATTTCGGGGAGGGGCATGCGTTTACTACACTCGTATTTACCTCAAGAACCCCAGTCAAAAAAGTCCGGCTCTATGCAGAGCATTACTAATTTCCCCCTTTGTAGGTGCATTTTAGATGTGTTTTCTCGTCAAACCAAAAGCATTGCTACTTCCGACAACCAAATCTTGTTAATAACCCTTGTTCAGCATAAAAACAAACTTGCTTTTTTTTTTTTTTTTTTTAGCTGAAAACGAGTATAGTGGGTGAACTTGGTGCAAGGCGAGCTGGTTAAGAGCTGACATTTTTTAACCCTGGAGAGGGGAAGGGTTTGGAGATCCTGTCCACATCCTGTCCTCCGTTTGCCCACTCACCAAGGGAAGAAAACCGCGTGAGGCGAACCGAATCCGAGGATGTCATCGATATAGCTTCCGTAAAAGTCCAAGAGAGACTTCTCAACCAAGCCCACAAGGAGGTTAGCAAAGGAGGGACCAATTTGAATCCCCGGCTTGTTGGCTTACCTGAGGCCAATGCATTCATAGCGAGGATCCAACCGAAAGGGAAATTTACTTGGAAAGAGACATTCGCAGAACACCGACAACGCGACCGTCGAAGTTTAAAAACGTGGCATCGGTTAGGGGCAATAAACTAAACTCCCCCCCCCCCCCCCCACCCTTTTTTTTTTTTTTTTTTTTTGGGGGGGGGGGGGGTTTGTTATGTTTAACTTTGTTTGTTTCCTGGGGTTGGGCCAACAGATAAACCAGCGTACGGTATTCATGTTACAAGGCGCAAAACCACGGACACAAGAGAGAAAGAGACAAACAGGCGCCTGTTTGTCTTTTTCTCTCTTGTGTCCGTGGTTTTGCGCCTTGTAACATGAATACCAACGTCTACCAACTGCGAGCGCCTATCCAGAGATCTGCCCGTGCCTAGATCTGGGGACAACGCCAGCGTAGGGAAAACCGCTCGTAGGGAATCCGTTCGCGTAGTGGTGATGATGATGATAGCGTCACGTATGACTCGCACACTGGCTCGCTGGCCTCGCGGCCTCGCCGTTTTTAACGGTTCTCAGTTTGAACTTCGGATGTGGTTGCTGGTTGCTCCGTAGCTTTTGTGCATGCTAGCGGCATAACGCCGACCCAGATAAGTACAAGTGCATGATTTGTGACATGTGCTTCAAGAAAATCTACAACTTAAAGAGGCACCTAAAGGAGGTTCACGGGGACGCTGACACGAGCTGGATCACACTGTCCGCTGCCGCCTTGCATGCGATCTGTGTCCAACTCCACTTTGAAGCGAAACACGGGATCGTCGCGAGGCGTGACAAGTTAAAGTTCAATTTGTTGAAAGGTAAGTGCGCTCGCTTAGTTTTCTACCTTTTGTACAGAAGAAAAATCAATAACAGTGCCTACCACTGTTACAAAATACGGTGTGGGCCTAGAGCAGAAAAGATATAATTCAAGCTCTCGTTTAAAGACTAAAAAATCTGAAAAGAGACGACAATTCATTACCACAAATTTGCATCCGCACCAATGGTGACTATTGCGATTGCACAGAGGGATAAAATACACTCGTCCTCTAATAGCACGAGCTGCCACATGAAATCCCAGCATATGTTGTCGTATCGGAAATTAATTAAAAGTGTATTGTTGGGCCAGTTTGGTCATCTCGAAAACATTGCAAAAGAAGAGGATAAGAACAGAAATGGCAACAAGCGTTACCATCTAGTATCGACTGACTGTTTAATTCGTGCTAAGAGAAGTACGAGAAGAAAGTTGGTTTGTTAATTTTTTTTTTCTTTCCTTTTCTCTTCTAAAGGGTTGTTCATCTTTCTAGAGCATCAAAATGCAACACTGCCTTTCTTTGAATCTCAGAGTAACACATTCTTTTCGATAGTGCCGCTTGTCCTGTCCCTCTCTCGTCTTTCGTGCAAATTGTTTTCGAGATGCTTAAAGGGATACTACAACGAAATTTCGGCGCTCATTTCTTTGGTCTATATGTGTTCAAAAGAGCAGTATCACATGGAACATACCAATATCTTGTTAAAAAAGTCTCGAAAAGGAATTTTAAAACAAACTAAACGATTAGCAAAGAGCACCTGGTGGATGTCGCTAACGCCTCGTTTGTAATGCTCGTCTAGGAACCTTGACAGCTAGTGACGGAGGTTGTCTCGTCTCCGCGGCCACGACGAGAGAAGGGGGAAAGGAGGAACTCCCCTCTTCCCGACAATCCCTTTTGTGTGTCGCAGAAGTCGCTATTGTCCCCCTAGAAGATTATAGAAGATTAACCCGTCACTCAAAATTCGTACAAAAGCAGCCGCTTCGGTGGCTGGAACGACTACGCCATCCTCTCGACGTCAGCCTCGCCGTAGCTTTGCTCGTCTTGAGACGACCTACGTCACGATTGCGTTGGATGTCACGTGCTCTAAGCTGGGCCTTCTCCGAGCGCTTGCCAGAGCGGGCTGTTTATAGCGAAAAATACAGCCACCAGGATCAAAATACAAACGTGCGATTGTCATTTACGGATATTGTGGATCATATTCAACCTATTTTTGAACACGACAAGAATATTTCAAATTTCGTTGAAGTATCCCTTTAAAACTTGCTGTGCGGTACGAGTTTATTCTTTCGTTCCCCTCTGAAAAGTGCTTTCAAAGTGGTAGTTTATGACGTCGTATACAGAGCTCTTTTGTTCTGCGGGTGCACGGTCCTCAAAAAGCTTGCGCACCAACTGCACTGATCAAAGCTAGCTATGCAACTCGGAGTACTCCTGGAGAAGTGGCAATCAGTTCATTGCATGACGTTTCATCGACAGCTCAGATTACCTTTTTTTCTGTAATAAGCTGCATGAGACTGTCACTGCGACAGTCTCATGCAGTGTCGGTAAGGTGGGTTAACATTTTTGTAATGAGCCGCTGCGAAGCGGCGTGAACGCAGGCAGGCAGGCGGGTGGGTGGGTTAATGCATACCCCAGTGATACACGCAAGACGAAATGTCCGTACAGCGTGCAATTCGCATAACAAGCATCAATGAAACGATTGTGTTGACGAAACGTGTGTTCATGAAAAGTTGTCCACGAAACATAATTTTATGAAGCGAGTTTCAATGAAATGAAAGGGACCCTTTATGGAGTGGCATGCGCTGTGTAGCCGAAAACCCATATTTGACGTCATAAACGGTGAATGTGAAACATGGATATCTTGCGTTTGCCAACAATTTTGCACCAAATAATTGTCATATTTGGATTCATGGGGTAAAACCAGGCAAGAATTGACCTCCAACTATATTTTTAGGAACCACTTCAGCTTTCTTTAAGCCATGTTACTTTACAAGCGTGACTTTCACATCAGGACATCAACAGGATCGTCTCCTAAAGCACACCTGTGCATGGGAATAGCCATACTTCCAGTGTATATACCTTATAACGTCCTGAAGGAGTATTTTACCACATGCAATTCATTTAGCACTAAATTGTTTGTGCGGTAACATACTTCCTCGATACGTTAGGTCGAGAAAGAGTTGAATGAATGTCCGAGCCCTTTTTAAGATAAAATAGAATGTCAATTTTTATTCCTCGAGCCAACACTTGTTCTCGTGCATTGACGCTAAAGCTTGTGGATAGTGTTTCAAGTCGTGTTGCAAGTTGCACCAGGGAACGGTGACACGATAGCAAGGTAGAACAAGAGGTTTAATATGGCGATCGGCTCAGAGCCAGGTACGTTCTAGCCACGGGCGCAAGGCACGAGTTGATGCGCACGAGCCGCGGAGCTCTATCTGCTCGGCTGCTCAGTGTAGCCAACATCTCCCCCATACAGAAGAGTCAAAGTCTTAGGGGAGCCTTGACGCATCGGCCACTTCTCGTTTGTGAATGAAGATTGCCTTCACATTCTATACGTGGCTCTTGAGCATCTCCGCTCTCAACGACTTCCGCATCCCACTTCTGACACCATGTTGCAAGTTGCGCCAGGAAAGGTGACATGATAGCAAGGTAGAAGAAGAGGTTTAATATGGCGATCGGCTCAGAGCCGGGTACGTTCTAGCCACGGGCACAAGGCACGAGTTCATGCGCACGAGCCGCGGAGCTTTATCTGCTCGGCTGCTCAGTGTAAGCTTAAGCACATAACCTTAAGCACATAAGCTTAAGCACAAACCTAGCACAACTGATTGTAGCGGCTTTGGCCGTTGCCACAGGTATGTATGATGGGAGTATGGCTACCTGGGGAGTGAAGCAGAGGGGTCATAGTGTTACCCTAATATCCCGAGAGATAGCCCACCTAAAATCAATAAAAAAATGGCTCAAATTAAGGAGTGGGCTCACTTGCAGTGTGAAGCAATAATGGCTCTACTTGCCAGTCGGCAATGGTTCATTATATCTTGCCATAGCTAACTCGACACAATAACTAGACACATTATATCCCCAATAGCTAACTAAAAGAAAAAAAAGCAAATGAAGCCAAAAACTGGGGTGGCTTACCTTTCGAGGCTGGGGCATCTCTCAGAATTTTATGGTAAGCATATATCTCACGTCTACAGTTTACATGCTACCAACACACTGGGGTTTTTTAGCTGCTCTTGTGACTGCCACTATAATGAGACTTGACTCTTTTCTAGGGGTGTATGAATACTTTAATATCGGAATACAAATAAAATAGTAAGCTCTCGGATAAATCGATTCACAAATAAAATTCTTAGTGTTTGGTTAACCGTAGATTTAAAATGTTCTGTGAAAGATGCGCGGTCGACATGGAGCCAAAGAAACTTGTGCTCCCTCTCCATTGTAGTGCGCACTTGCATTGAACTTGTGAATATGCAAAACATATTTTGGTTTGTGTTTTTTTTTGTTTTTTTTTGTCCTCCCATCACTCACATAGCAGGTGCACTTGCAAACACTACACATGTGGGGTGCAGTGAACCTGTTCTTGCAGACCGTAGTGTTTAGGAGTGCACCTACTATGTGGGCATTGGGAGCACAAAAAAACCATGGACTGCATGCTACAGCTAAAAGTCTGATTGGGATGTACATTTAGTGAAACAAACATGAAGATGTTTTAAAGCAGGGGGTATATGATGTGACTGACATACCACTCTTAATTCAGGCCATTTCATTTTAAGCTTTCTTTCTTCTCTGCCTGCCAGAATTCAGTGACTGGAGGGAGGCTAAGGATGGCAGAGAGCATGTTCGCTTCATTCTCCACGACGGACCCAAGGGACGAGATGAGGGTGTCCTGAAAAGGTATTACTACTGCCACCGCTCTGGATCATTTCAGAGCAAGAGGTAAATGACAACTGAGAACCCAGGGCACTTGTAAGACTAATGTGCAATGCTTAGCCACAATTCAAGCTACAGAGAAAGATGGCAAGGTGACAGTAGAGTACCAGGCAGAACACTACAGCCACCCGAAGGAACTGAAGCACCAGCGCCTCTTTACGACTGAGAAGGAGGCTTTAGCTGATAAACTAAAGCAAGGCATCCCTGCCCATAAAGATCTGGTAGACGCACATTCTTCTGCTGGCAGTGAGATGGGTAGGCTACATTTGCTCTCAATGAAAGACATTGGCAACATCTCCGTCGAGCATGAAATTCTGACGAAAGAGCTACGGCACTGAACAAAGTCGGATTCCCCAGTCCTGTACTGACATGGAGGAAGGAAAACAAAAAGAGAGCTTTGAGCTTGCCCTGATGACTGTCCCTCAGAAAGAATGCCTCACAAAGCTTGGCCCCAAGTTTCTGTGCATTAACTACACTCATAATATAAATGGCCACAATCTGCAACTGAAGACTCATGACAGCTACAGAAGATCAGTCAGGCATGCCATGCACATATTTGATCTCAAAGTAACTAGACACCAAGGCTATGAAACACTCCTTAAGGCCATAAAGGTAATGCATGGGAGGAAGTGATGGGCTGTGCCCAATATTGGATGCTCGGCTCGTGGCATGTAAGCCACAACTGGGCTCTAAAGTTGCAGTCAGTCCAAGATATAAGCAGACCCGTGACCGTCTTCGCGACGAGTTGTGGGCGCTGAGAAATTGTAAAGATGAGGGTCAATTCCAACGACCTCCAACAGGCTTCCCGTGTCAGAAACTAAGTGAAGAGGCTGATCCAAAACTAATTCAACTAGTACAGGAGTTTCTTCAGTACTTTGGGCACTACCATGGTGGCAGAGCCTAACAGTGGGCGCACTGCTTCAGAAAGGGCATTCCTTTTAATACTACCAACCACTTGGAGGCAATGTACAAGGACCTGAAGTCACGCTAATGCATGGAACTCTCAACCAGAGGCTTGACAAGCTGTTGATGATCCTCTTTGAACAGAGCCGTGACCGGCTCTACGAGCGTCCCAAGTCGCTCGTAAAAAGGAAAAACTCATCGGCATGATGCAGCCCTTTTTCGGAGGCACCAGGAGGGGATGAAAATTCCAGCATCAGATGTAGAACAGCTGCAAAATGGCAATGGCTGGCTTGTAAAGTCTCAGTCCCAGACAGAGAGAAGCTACCATGTTGAGAAGGGCGACCCCCGCCAGAGTTGCGTGCTTCGTTGCAGGGACTGTGACATCTTTATCGACAGTTACAAGTGCACTTGCAATGACAGCCTGATTTCATCATCAATGTGCAAGCATATTCACGCAGTAGCTTACCTGGGGATCCATGTGACGACCGTGGAGGAGGCCGACACTGAGCCAGGTGTAGAAATGCCATCAACAACACGTGAAGCAACAGGCTTTACGTTAGATGATGAGCTACAGTCCCTCTTGGATGACATTCGGCAGGGTATTGAGGTAGGGATGGAGAAGACTCAACCAAATTCAGAGGACAACATATGTTCAACAATAAGTGGACTGAACAAGTCCCTCTCCAGGAAGAAATTGACAAGCTCTTCAAGCTCCCCGGTGTTGAAATACCGTACCAAGGCCCAAGAAGTACTTGACTCTGTTCCAGATGAGACTTCTCCAAAACCTAGGGTAATCCCTCACAACAAAAAGGTGGAAAAACAACCACGGTACTTTCCCCCCCAAAAAACGCCCTGGTTCTGGCCCCATGCATGGCAAACCTCCCACCAGCTTGGAGCAGCAGCACATCATGTTGGGCCTCGTAGCCAGGTGAGTTCCTACAGAAGGAGCAGCATCCGCTCAGCTCCATGTGGATGTTCCGAGCATGTCTGTGCTGGCCCTCAAGGAGCACGACTACTTTGCAAATCAGTAGTCGTGACAATTGGACTACAAAAAAGGGGCAGTATTCTTCTTGCAAAAAGGAATGGCGTGTTGGACAGCTTGGATTTCTTTCCACTTTGGAGAATGTCACGAGATGCTCGAGCTAAGGGCAAGAGGGGCATCTCTTACCATCCTCCAACAGGTTACGTTAGGCGAGGCATTATATGCTGACCTTAATCGTAACGCTTTTTTAACAACCAGGGATTGGCAATTTTATTTAAGTTGATCCGGAACGGTTGTCTCTAAATTAACGGGCAACCATAGTGCCTCGAAATGCTCGTTTATAAGCATGCCCCTCGCTGAAACCGGCACTTTTTTTTTAGATAGTATTACTGCACGAGAATGTGCAGCTTTTTCCGCTTTGGAGAATGTCGAGAGGTGCTCGAGCTCGCCATTCTCCAACAGGTGGCTTATGTTATCAGCTGGTCTTAATTGGAAAAGTGTTTTAATGGCCAGAGCTTGCCAATTTAATTTCAAATTTATGCAGACAGGTTACCTCTAAGTTAATGTGTAACCACAATACCTCAAGTTGCCTGTTACATGCTTATTTTTTATTTTGCATACTGCTGCACGGGAATGTGAAAGTTGCAGTTCCCGCGACATACCAAATTATTTTAGTATGTGACTTATATGCTTTAGGATATAATAGTTTTCTTGCTAATAAGTGCCTATAATCACTGTTTCATTGTTTTGTGAGCCAAGAGGGAGTGACCGCTGGCGACCACAAGCATGAGGATCTGCTACAGGAAGCATGATCATGTAAGTCATCCCCGTGTGCACGGGATAGTTTGTAACGGGCTAGGTGAGATTCAATTGCCAGCATTTTAAAAAGCGATAACTCAGAGGAGAGTAAAAGTACAAGCAAGCTGGTGAATTGCAGACGAAAAACTGAAACACCAGAAGGAAAAAGGACACGAAAAAAAGGATGACACACACACACCGTCTCGAACACAGCTGAAGGTTTATTCTAAAACCACACCCTTTTATAACGGTACACCACAGTCAACGCCAAGAACTCTCACACCAAGTCACACACCCAGACTGTCAGCAAGAGCAAACAAAAGAAATGCACTCGACGCTTACATACGTGCCAAGGTCAAGCAACTGACAAAAAAAAAATTGCATTGGTCAAAAAGTTTGTGCTTGCTTGTGAATCACCATCGACGAGACACTTACACAATTACCAGCAGAACCAATACTAAGAGTTTCTTTTACCACGCGTTTGAACTGATCTCGCTCGGCTTATCACCGTGGTGGCCATCCAATTCGGATGACAACTGTTGCAAACTTGTAACTGTACTACAGTTTCTGAATTTGGGGATTGCAGGAGGGCACACCTTTTGTGCTCCATGATTTGCTCATTAACATAACATCCAGTTTAAACTATGTATGAAAACCCAGGTGCCAAAGGAATATTATAAACACTACCATATTGACATTCAGTGGCAGTATTCCTATGCGTTTCCCCGCAAACTTTTTCTACCTCTTGTGAAAGGAGTCGACCTACTTTATCTGAAGTCTTCACAAGCACGTTCTCATGGGCACTCTCGTCGTCGTCTGAGGCCGTCTTGTCTTCACAGGCAATGTGAGACTCACTCTGAAGACAAATTTGGGATCTTCAGCATCGCTGCCGTCCGAACTGCTGCTAGGAACAGCTCTTTTCCTGGGGACCATCACCGCCATTAGCATTCCTCATGCGTGTCGCCATTTTTAAATTCATGTTGCCAGGCCAACAACTGCTGTCAGGCTAAACACATTGCAAAAGTGCAAAACGCTTTTTTTTTCTGGCACCTTTTTAGGTTGAAAATAGAAACCGAAACCAATTTTTGAACGTAACTTGTCTTTGACGCAGAGAGCAGCACAGCATGAGGGTGGACGAATGTGACTCGTCATTGGTGATATTTGTACAAACTAATAATGTGCACAGCTCGGACCAATGTAATTTAGCACACAGGTGGAATATAATTGTGACATTGTCTGTCCCTTTTTTTCTATCTCTTCTAATTTTTTTCCCCTTTTTTGACCACAGTCCAGTCTTTTTTGACCACTGTGTCAACCGTCAGCTTGCCTGCACATAAACCTTTTTCTTTTCAATAAAATTGGCCATTTCTAGCTATATTATTGAACAGAGCTCACTTTAGTAAAAAATAAAAGAAAAAGAAACTTTTTTCTGTAGTTTACGTGTGAAAACCAAGTTACATTTTAGGCCACTGTCTATCTTGGCAAAGGGAGACAGATAATACATAAGCCAAGTTTACTTCCTTCCCATTCCCTCATTTTTTCAGTCGTAATAAATGCCACGGTGGCCCAAAAGGCTGTTTGATAATATTGCGCCAAAAGGAGTGGGCAATCACCCATAAAAAGTGTTGTTTCCTTAGGTGTGGGGGGCTCAAACTTTTATATAATTACTGCACCATCTAGATCACTTCTGTAGTAAATCGTAGCACGATAGGTCAAGATAGCAATTTATGCGGTTCTTTCAAAGGGTTATGCGCATTTATACTCGTGCTGTATTTTTACCGATCAAGAGTAGGGATGTCGCGAACCACCCCAAGTTCGATTTCGAAAGGTTTCGATATTTTCAAAGCGAACTGAGGTTCGATTTCGAAAAATTTCGATATTTTCGTACCGACCTAGGTTCGAATTCGAAAAATTCGCAACTTTCGATCACAGTGGAGTTTCGAATTCGAAAAGTTCGAAGCTTTCACGGTTTCTAAAATTTCGAATTCGAATATTTCGAATATTTTTTTACTTCAGGTTCGATAAATTCGAAGATTTCGAAATTCTTTGGAAACAAAATTCGCCAACTTCGAACGCTTCGAATTTTTATAGACATGAAGTTCGAACAATTCGAAGATTTCGAATTTCTTTCTGCATAAAGTTCGAAAAGTTTGAAGGTTTCGATTCTCTTTTAACGCTAAATTCGGGAAAAAAAAAACAAAAAAACTTTGAAGATTTTGAATTTCTTTCTAGTCCAAGTTTTCAAAGTTCGAAGTCCGGTTTTCAAGTTCCTCCACAGTTTGTTTCAAATAACGTTTTCACGACTCACTGGTTTTCACAGAATCAAGTTTAGAAAAGTTAGGGTGTGATATCTAGATTCTGCGAAGTTGGTCAGGCAATTAAATGAGACGAAGAGTGTCCCGGATGTGCTGGAATATTTGCCAGTGCAGAGTGACGTGTGACAATGGATCAGTAATTGTGACCGCCAGCTCGGGGGGGGGTCTTTAACCTGCATCACGCAGTAGTGATCACACGAACACACTGTTTTACGAGACTCATCCAGTTCGAACCGGCCAGGGACGAGCAGGAGGTTGAGGCTCAGAAAAACCTTGAAGCGACCTGGCAAACTACCTCGCCACCCCTTGCACGCTGATAGTAATCCGATCGAACGCCGCCCGAGTGACGCTGGCATATAGTAAGTTAAGTTTGTAATTGTCCTGGAGGTTTATTTTCTGGGACGGAGGAATCGCCTCGCAAAAAGCCGACACAACTCGAGGTCGAGAAGCGTTCTACCCTACAAGTGGCGTCGAAAGATGAAAAACGGGGGGTAAGAGGGTAGCGGGGGGGGGGGGGCTTCAGTTTTCTTCCCCCCTTCCAGATATTTCGGACTGTTAAAGAAAACAATACGGGGAAAGAGGGCATGGTCGAGCTTATTTTAATCTGAAATTATTTATGCATATGTATAGCTACTGTCGCTCTTCACTGCATAAAAGATTGCGTAGATGGTCATTGTTAGAAACTCGTTGTCAGAAGGCACTACTCGTCACATGCTTAGTGGTTCGGAAGTTCAAAGTTACGTTTTTTTTCGACCTGTGCCAATAAATGCGGGGATAAAAAGCTGGAGAAAATAAAAACTATAAAGAATTCGCCGGAAGTGTTGTATTCTTGCGCATTCAGAGGTTCAGAACTTCAAAACAAGTTTCTTTTCCCAAATTTGTACAGGCTAAAAGAAACACGTCCCAGGATCGTGAAGCGAAAAAAAAAAAAAAAGTTTTCTTTTAATGACGTGCTGAACTTGAACACTATTAGAAATCTTCTCCCATGAGTTAATTTATTCCTTAACGTGAAAAAACAATAAATACATTATTTTGTATTCTGCAGATGGCAATGATACGCAAGGTCTGTGATGTTAATTTAAATGCGATACCTCAAACAACTTAGATGAAAATAAATATCAAGTTTAGGGCATAATTGCATGTAGATACATGTTTGGACATTTCTTCGAAACTCACGTTGAATAACAATAATCACATCTTAAGACGGCACTTACCTAGGCTATACATAGATCATCCTTAAAAAAGTATAACATCTCTACCACAAATAGCTTCGGCTACAGTGCGCTTCAAATCTGGCACAAACGATAATCATCAAAAACCCGTCGTCCTTCCTCGCCCCTTCAGAAATTTATTTCTTTAAAACTAAGCATGCCAGAACATTGAAACAAACGTCATTGTCTTTCGTAAGGAACGCAGCACCGCGTGTAAAAGTTCGAGAAAAAAAAAACTACGAACGTACCTCACTACTTGAATTCAAATGAAACCGTCCGCTGGTCTTTCGAAGTTCGACGAGCGTCGAACTTTTACCCTCAAAGTTCGAAGTTCGTCGAAATTCTGACTTTTCAGGATTCGAAAGTTCGAAACTTTTCGAATTTTCTTGATAAATAAGTTCGAAAGTTCGAAATTAATCAAATTTTTTGGTCACTCAAGTTCGGAAGTTCGACAAGCATCGAACTTTGCAGCGCAATAAGTTCGAGAGTTCGAAAAAGATCGAATATCTTAGCGTAATAAGTTCGACGGTTCGAAAAGCGTCGAACTTCTTAGCTCAACAAGTTCGAAAATTCGACTTCTGTCGAATTTTACGATGCAGAAAATTCGAAAAATCGAAATCTTTCGAACCTTTCGAATTGCTTGATTCGATAATCGAAACTTCGATTCGAAAAAAGTTTGCGGCATCCCTAATCAAGAGACTTGTACGACTGAATCATGCCAGCTATGTACTAGCTTGTTGAAGGCGCCACATAAATGACGACATAAGCCATTGACTTGAGTGGCACACCAACTTTTTGTCAAAGTGCCCATTAGAATTGTCAAAGGCAACGCTATCAATGCAGTTTGTCTGTGCAATGCCATCAATGCAGTTTGTCTGTACCACTGCCATCAATGCAGTTTGTCTGTACCACTGCCATTCAAAGTCCGGTAGCTAGCCCAAATAGTCTAGCATCACATACGAGGTTCGTTGCCAGAAAATGCAAGAACAAATGAAGTTCAGGCACCTTGTGCAGCCTCACCAACAAATGTAGACCACATACTGCAATGGCAAAAACACAGAGCTCGGCCGCTTCTGTCCACATACCTTCTGCGCATGCACGAGTTTCCCGTTGTGTTGATAAACAAAGCACGCTGCACGTCGGTGTATACACTCTGCCAATTTGTAATTTATGTGATGAAGATTTCTACAAAACTAAAACATATTGGCTGTTGCTGAATTGTGCCAAAAACATTAAGGGTGATTTCAAATAAGATCGATCAAGGGGTGGCTGGTCGAAATTTTCAATTCAATTGATATTTTTCTGTCATTGCTTATTATCCCGTATTTGCAACTCCAACGCCCCATACGTGGCAAGGCGGTACTTCCAAGATGGCAGAAGAGACGAAGATAGATTCTCCAGGATTTCACATGCACCTGCTTGTTCACGCTTGTCACTGCGCTAAAAATGACTCATTTGTGTAAAAATGCAAAGCAGTTAGGGCAGGATCATATAACAGGTGACGGAGATATTGATGCGTGGTAGAATTTAAAAGTTGCAGAAACCCCAACTTCCGAAGCTTTGTGGTGTGTGAGCGCGTTTTAGACACCAACCACGTCACTGTTTGTGGCAACATATTTTGGAGGGTGATGAAGATATTGTGTTTGCGCTTTGCCTGGCCATTAGTGCTCTAAAAAGTGAGCCGTGCACGGTGACCATCAAGCTCCAGAAGAGCAGCGTTCACAGTATTGATGTCTTCGTGTCACAGGCTCGCAACTCGCTGCTCACCTTCTAGGTTTTAGTGTGAAAACCAAATTCGAAGTGCCATCTAGATTTTCGTTTACGAACTGTGTGCTCCATAGAGTGCTGTGGAACTCCATTTAGACGCTGAGCTTTAAAACATGTATTCCGTAAAATACACTGCAGTTACCATAGCAGCCGTGTCTATTTATTGTTGTAACTCAATATATAGGCTCTAAGCATCCTAAAAAAACCTGAAACCATATTCAAGAGCAGCCGATTTCCCTAGTAAAAGTACAATCAAAGATTTTTCCGCGCCTCTCTTTCTGCATTGTGGTGCAGTACACTAGAGGGTGCCACCAGACAGGAAGGCAGCAGGGGAAGGCACATGACAGTAAATCACGAGCGACGGTTTCCCGGCGGACTGACTTTTCGAAGGCGCGCATGGTGGCACCCCCTGGTGTTCTGCGCCATGGCACCGAAAGAGGGGCATGGCACAATCTTTGATTGGACTTTCAATAGGGAAATCGGCCAGCCTTGAATTTAATTTTGGGTTTTTTTAGGATGCTTAGAGCTTATAGATTGAGTTACGACAATAGACGGTATCAGAATCTACTTGAGTGTCCCTTTAACAAAATAATTTGTGATGGTTACACCCACCATGTCTAAATAATTTTCTTTGTTTCTGATTTTAAAAAGTATTAGTCTTCTCCTGGTGTTATTGTTTTAGTTATTTAATTTCAAAGATGCCTGCTCCAATAGTGTGCGTGAATGCGACCGTCTACCTTTATGTGATCTAAGATTTCTTGTGCGCCCAGATTCTTCTTCTGATGAAAAATAAACATGTTTATTTACACCGGACATTAAGCAATGACATATAAAAATATCAATTGACTTGAAAATGTTGACCAGCCATCCTTCGGTCAATCTTATCCCAAAATCACCCTTAAATTGTCCAAAACAGCCCGAAACTGCACCAAAATACCTCCAGAACTTTTCTTTTTTTGATATAAGTTTTTGTTGCGATACATGTTTTACTTTAATGTGGACTTTTCTGCTCCTAAGCTGCTTCCAATTGTACATGTTCTCCTCTTGAGCTGCTCCGAAATTTTTTTACAGAATTTGTTTTAACTGTCTTACTTAGTCATGGGCAGTAGCCATACTCAAGTTTACCTTAAAAGGACACTGCCCCCCCCCCCCCCCCCCCTCACAAATTTTTTTAAAATTTTTTGCCAGGCGTCTGAATACTATTTAAGTAATATTTTGCTACAGAGAAGACAGAATTCACAGACACCGTGTACGACAGTTCTGAAGTAGAGGTCCCACGCCCGTCGTCCGTGAGTCCCACGAAACGTGAAACGACGCCATGTTGAGAATTATGCAGTGAACGCACAGAATGCTTCCAATTGTCTGTGCAACCTTTTTTTTTTTTTTTTTTTTTTTTTCAATTGACATATTTGCAGCTTTTTGGAAGCCACAAAAAATGTTTCATTTTTTTTCTACTTTTTGGATTCACTGTGTGCCTTCAATGACCCACGACTTTGATTAAATTTGGTGGTCGTGTCTAAACCTTAGAAAACTGCCTTGGAAAAGAGAGTGAGCGCGACTCGATCGGCAGTTTTCGGGCGGAAAGAAACTGAATTTCGAGCTGCAAATTTTGTTCTAGGTAGTTCGGCTCTCATATGTCACATAAAACTAAAAACCTCGGCGAGCATAAATACCCTGTCAGTGTCCCTTTAAAGGGTCCCTGAAAAGAAAAGTTTTTTTTTAAACAGCCTGGTTGAAACACGCAAGGCAACAATCAAATCTTATGCGAAAAAAAAAAAAAAAAATTTTTTTTTCTAGAGCAATATTGACGGCGTAGAGTTTATCTGAAATTTTTTGTGCAAAGCCCATGAAGTCACGGGTCATTCCGGAATAACCATCTCGGTCGTGAAGGCAAAGCCGGTCCATTTCTACTCCATGTGCCCAAAATGCCAAGAGAAAACAAGTGGAAAGGAGGTAACTGCCGACTAAATGGTGTCTTGTGCCGTCATTATTGGTCTAAACGAATTTTTTTCGCATAAACTAATCTTTTGACACGCGTGTCCCAACCAGACTGTTCAAAACTAACTTTTTTTTTTTCTTTTCAGGGGCCTTTTAAGGTGGATTGCAGCAGATGCTACGAGCCAGCACAACTAATTCTGTGCTAAGAGTGTGTTGGGCGACCTTCCGGCTTGGCGCAGCAATGCGCAATATCACGCGACACTCTTGCCGGGCGTGATGGCTTCTAGCATCAGCTGCAGTCCATCTTAATGTGAAATGGAGTGTGATTACTAGTAATGCATTACCGGTCAGTTGTGACTTTTTCCAATAGCTTTGAACTGTAACGCGTTACTCTTTATTAGCGGTACTTTGTAACTGTAACACTTACTTTTTTTTATTGGGTAACTGCAACTTTTAAAGTGATGTTCTTTAAAGCCAAGTTCCATGTTCTTTAAATCCGAAAAAGAGGGGGGGGGGGGGGGGGGGGGGGGTTCGCTGTTTATTATTTCTTGCAAATTTGATGTTATTCGTTGTCTATTTTTGCTGTTGACCGGAATGCATGCAGGGTTTCTCAGGGCTTGTGTCATAGGAGCGACAGCATATCTATAAGACCCATGGAGTGCTAAATGGCACGTGTAGAAACACTTTTCAAAGGAGGAAGCAGCCTTGCAAACAGATCAGTGTAGTCTGTGTTCAAGAGAACACGAAATGAAGATGTCAAAACAGGTTGTTTGTTGTAAAACTGGTGTTTTTCTTGTTAAAAAAAAACTTGAATTTCTTATTTGCTTTTTTCCACCGATTTTCGAGAAACACTTTTTAAGGGTTACTTTTCAGTGTTTGCCGTCATACCAAAAACCTAGAACTTTACCTATAGTACATTGTTTTGAAATAACCTTTTAAGCCACCCAGGGGTGTTGCCGTTTTGGTGCCTGCCACCTAAGCCTTTTTTTCCCTGAACACTCATCCTAGGTTAATACTAACCCTCAAGGAGGGAAGCACCTTCAATCTGTTGAAAATGCCAAAGTATGACAGGTGAGCAGCAGGTAACAAGTGATGAAGATTGCTCATCTGGACAAAATGTTTTTGGAGTCGAAATCGAGAGAAACATTTTTATTAGGTTTTCATTTGGCTGCCCTTGCAACAAACCTTACCTTGATCTTGTGTTAAGCAATGAAGCTATTTGTACTGGACCCAGTGAAGTATATATGATTGAATAGAGCTGGAGCCATTGGAATGGGAAGGTCAAGGTCCTGTGTAATTCAGTTCACTGACCATTGCAAGAAAATGTAGCATCCGCTGGTGGATTCTGTGACCTTTTGCTACAGCAATTATTGATTATGTGCAGGTACCTGGACCTCGAGACCGGTGGCCTTGGAGATGTCAGCAAGGCTACGGGGTGATTTGCTCACCACGAGGCTGTGCAATTTAGTGGCATGGAACTAGTGCCTCATTTCGGAGATCTCCATGGCGAGTGAACAGTGTAAGGCTGGTGGGGCAAGAAGTTTATTGGAAGGTTATGCCATGGTGATCAACATTCATGACAGGTTCATCTGCCGAACTAGCTATGCAATTGAGGCAAGCCTGCTAAGTCACTGGGACATGGATGCATTAGTCGTCAGTGTGTGGCGCAGAGGACTTCTAGGGACAACTCCAGGAGACGAACATGCAATATTTATATTCTGTCTATATTTTGGTGAACCAATGTTACTGTTGACATTTAAGTGTGGGACATTTCGCTTGTGCGGCAAAAGATATGTCAGGTGTGTAATGGGGTCCCACAAAAAATACCTATGCTTTGTCTTGAGCTATGTTCATAGAGGCATGGCAAGGGGGGGCCAGAAGAGTGATGAAAGTTGTGCCGGTGATGGTCACAGTTTGGGAAATAATCGCTTGTTTCTGGAATAATTACAACTGCAACTTCCGGTCCTAAAGATGCCTGCAGCAGACTACGAATACAAGAAGTATGCCGTCTGCCACAAGCTGGCGCCATCGTTTGAATCGTGTGAATAAAGACTATATTCTGATATTGTATTTGTTTGAAATATAATGACTTTCAGACACTTATAAGAATTCATAGTGGGGTGCGATGCAAAATATGGTTTATTGAAAGTCCGGTCGTCGATCGAGATGGTCGTCTGCTAAAAGATTGCATTGCACTTGTGAGAAAAGCACTTCAAGCAACCGGTTGAGATCCCAATTTTTTTTTTTTTTTTGCGGACTCGCGTTATGTGAAAGTGCTTCATAGCTGGTTGTAACCATCCCATGAAGAAAGGTTCTTGCAGTTTCTTCAGATTCCCGCAATACCCCAAAGCGCGAGAGAACTGGATAAAAACCATAAGGTGAGTACATGTAGCACTGGCGGACAGTTGCCTCGATGTAAAAAAAGGGCCAAACCAACCAAGAGCATGTAAAACCCATATTCTGTTCGGTCATATTGTTTGAAAATATGGCGGTATATTTATATCTTATTACTATAATATTGATAAAGTAGTTGCATGCAAGTAGTAGTGAGAGTAAAATCCAGATCAAACTTTCAGTAGTCTTAAAGGCCCGTTCACACTCTTGCGACCGAGAGAGACCAGACCGGTTTTTAAGCCTCTTGCAATCTCTTGGGACCAGCTCCGCTGCAACGCATCCGGTCCTAAGAGATCACAAGAGGCTTAAAAACCGGCCTGGTCTCTCGGTCTTCCTCGGTTGCAAGACTGAACGGAGCTTAAGGCCTGTTCACTCTTGCAACCGAGTACAACTAAGAAAGACGAGACTTGTTAAAACCTCTTAAAATTTCTTGGGACAAGAGAACACGCTGGCGCCATCTATGCGGCGACTTTGGAACTGCATTTAACAAGAGCGAAGGTTTTGCGGTATTTCCGAGGTCAAATGTGCGTAATACCTATAAGAAAGGCTCGTTTATAACGTAGACAGAAGTTTTTCAAGCCAAGAAAGAAAGGATAATGCGCGACAAATAGAAAATATGCCGGACCGCCAAGTTTACACTGCTACCCAATAGATGGCGCCAGTGTGTCCTCTTGTAAGAGGATTCAAGAAACCCAGTTTTAAGAAGTTGCAAGAGTGTGAACGGGCCTTAACAATATTAAGGTAAAACGGCGTTGAGATGTATGCCTGTGTCCATGCGCTATCCAGTTATTTTGTTTATGCTTATATATCTACCTTTAAAGGGATACTACAACGAAATTTTGGCGCTCATTTTTTGGTCTATATGTGTTCAAAAAAGCACCATCAAATCGAACATACCAATATCTTGTTAAAAAAGTCACGAAAAGGAATTTTAAAACTAATTAAACGATTAGCAAAGAGCACCTGGTGGATGTCGCTAACGCCTCGCTTTTAATGCCCGTCTAGCAACCTTGGCAGCTGGTGACGGAGGTCTCGTCTCTGGCCACGACGAGAGAAGAGGGGCAGGAGGAACTCCCCTCCTCCCGAGAATGCCTTTTGTGTGTCACACAAGTCGCTATTGTCCCCCTACAAGATTATAGAAGATTAACCCGTCACTCGAAATTTGTACAAAAGCAGCCGCTTCGGTGGCTGGAACGACTAGGCCTTCCTCTCGACGTCAGCCTCGCCGTAGCTTTGCTCGCCTTGAGACGACCTACGTCACGATTGCGTTGGATGTCACGTGGTCTCCGCTGGGCCTTCTCCGAGCGCTTGCCAGAGTGGGCCGTTTATAACGAAAAATACAGCCACCAGGCTCAAAATACAAACGTATGATTGTCATTTACAGATATTGTGGATCATATTCAACCTATTTTTGAACACGACGGGGATATTTTAAATTTCGTTGAAATATCCCTTTAATGATTTTTTTTTTTTTTTTTTTTCATTGTGCTCTTCATGTGTTCTTCTGTTTGGACTAGCTTTTTTAATTTAGTACAAGTCTCAATAATAATAATAATAATAAACGACTTCCCTCGAAGGTGTAAGATTGCTGGCCTGCACTACGCCGGTAATGCACCTCGGGTCGTAGTCGTAACTGATTTGCATGACGTGGGTTGATTTTACGGCATTTTCGCCCCTCCGAACAAAACTATATTCACAATGAATTAAAAAAAAAAAAAAGATGCACATCGCTGAAGCTTTTACGGTCATGATGATGCACTTGTTTTTGGTCACTGGTTTACAGAAGCAATTCAATGAAGATGCCCGCTGCAACAGAGGTAGGCCAGCAAATCTATCGTGTCGTCTGGTACCAAATCAAAGCGGAGTGTAATACTTCAGAAATGGCTTTCCTCGTTGCAGTACGACACAGAGACAAGAAGAACATCTTCATAATTAGATATCAAGAAGCTAGATTGCTTACAAAAAATTATTGACTTACTTGTAAGCAAGAGTTTAGCCTCATGTGGAGTCTGCATGCATTAGTCTATAGCAACGCCCCTAGCAACGGTTTGTTTGAACCCAGACGACATGTTGTGACAGTTACCCCGCAGACGCTGGAGGCCTTTACGAAAAAAAAAAAAAAAAAACGGTCGTTTTCACCAACTTGCAGCACGCTGAGGTGTCATCAACGTGGGGCTGTCGCACTGAAGCTTCCTGATCGCCTTGCAAATGGATTAAAAGTATGCTGTGTCTAAAGGTACGTCAGACGTATCCGCAAGTTCGAGTCTAAAGATACGTCGGGCATATTGTAAGCGTCCCAATTCTGTACAAGAAATTAAAGATCAGAGACATGCGATGTCTGCTCTCCATCAAGGCTGAGCGTCTGAAACGTCGCTTGTTTCCTTTCCCCTTTCCTTTGCTCGTCTTATCCACGCTTTTAGTTTTGTGCCCACCTTTAGGTGCCGGCAGCACACCACCTTCTGGTCCCCAGCACTCGGTTTCGTCATCAGTTGGTGGATGGCGGCACACAACGGCACTTGCGCTACCGCGCAGGCGCTTTAGAATATAGGCACAGGTAAGGCGTTGTGTGCTCTGTTTTTGTTTCGTCGCCGTTCGTTCGACTCCGTCGTCTGACTTGCAAGCGCACCTCGTTTTTGTTTACGTGGTTTAGCCCATATGTTCAGGCGTTCATAACTTTGCTGTCCACCATGAGTGCGAAGAGGACTTTGTACACAGTGAAGTTAGAGCGGACGGTGATCAGGTATGCGAAAGACAACGGTAACCACGGCACTGCAGAGCATCTGCGATACCGTGTGATACGGTGGAAAAGACAGCAGGTGTAGGTATTCAAGGGCGTCGCGATCCGTAAAAAGTGTTCGGGACGGCGCAATAATGCAAAAGTCGACATTTGGAAATTGAGAAGAAAATTCGTGAGTTTGTTTGCAGCTAACTGGACGGAACCACCGAGGACTCGTCGAGTCGTACTGAGAGCTACTGGTTGACTTAGTGCGCGGTGAGAATTGACGGCGAGCAGGTTAATTCTCGTCAGGGTTATTTTTATTTGTTGTGTGACTTTTTTTCTTATGAATTTCCTATAATAAATTGATATTTCTTGCACAAATGTTGTAATTTCGGAGCATTTCACGAAAGTAAGCACCCCCCCTCGTTGAACATCGCGGGTGTGAAATGAAAGGAGTGCATAGAATGAACTAATTACGGTAGCAATGAGAAATAAAGCTGGAATGAAAATTGACAGTGGGGTCTCGGTGAGGCATGCTATGACCCGCTGTGATATGACCTTTCCCTACCGCGTCTACGTCCGACGCATCTCCCGGTTCCGCGCATGTCCGTCATGCATCTTAAAGGCCCGTTCACACTCTTGCGACCTCTTAGAACCAAGTTCCTTGAAACCTCTTACGACGAGAAACCAAACTGGCGCCATCTATTGGGTAACAGTGTAAGCTTGGCGGTCCGGCATATTTTCTATTTCGCTCGCACATTATCCTTTCTTTCTTGGCTGGAAAAACTTTTGTCAACGCTATAAACAAGCCTTTCTCTTAGGTATTACACACATTTTACCTCGGAAATCCCGGAAAACCTTCGCTATTGTGAAATGCAGTTCCAGGGACACCGCATAGATGGCGCCAGCGTGCCAGTGTGTTCTCTCGTCCTAAAAAATTTTAAGAAATCTCGTCTCTCTCGGTCGTACTAGGTTGCAAGACTGTGAACGGGCCTTAAGGCTCCAGGGTCCGGATACGTCCGATGCACCTTTAGGCTCCTTGTTCCGGATACGCCCGACATACTTTTAGAGTCCTCGTTCCGGATACGTCCAATGTACTATCGGGGAAAAATGAAATGCGAACAGAGGAAGGAGTGCGTGGCTCGCGGTACAGGCTGCGCCGCCTGGAAGTGAACCTAGGGGCGAGGGTGGGTGGCCTACTTAGATGTGTCCACGCCCCTCGACAGGCGTTCCCCCAGCTTCGGCAGTGCGCCTCTCGGTGCGCTGGAAGCTGTCACAGCTATCTTTGTCTGCTCGGTGAGTGCGGCGAGCTTCTTTGCACCGCACGCGCTGAGCCAGCAAAGATAGTGGTGATAGCTTTCAGCGCACGAAGAGGCGCACTGCTGAAGCTTGGGGAGCGCAGAGGGAAAGGCGTGAACACGTCGAGGTAGGCCACGCACCCTCGCTCCTAGGCTCACTTCCAGGCGGCGCAGCCTGTACCGCGAGCCACGCACTCCTCTGTTCGCATTTCATTTTTCCCCGATAGTACCTTTAGACTCCTCGTTCCGGGTACGTCCGACACGTAGCTTTAGACACAGCGTTAAAAGTATTGCTACGTCTCGCGCGTCAATCAGGTTGAAAACACGGTAGGTACCGGGAACCTGAGCACCGGTATTAACGTGTCGGAACGCTTAAAGGAGCTGCGCAACAATTTTTGTACTGTGCACAAATACCGCTTAAAACGGATCCCTAACGTTAATGACCTATGAAACACGCGTTCGTTTTTCACCCCACGCAATAGAAGTCCCAGAAAAAAATTAAAGAAAAACGAGCAGCGTTCACCCCCTCAACTCGCAGCCAGAACAAGCGGCCACGTGATCTGGAGCCGATTATATGCCGCCAGTGTTGATCATAGCCACGCGCTGGGGTTGGCAAAGCGCAGGACACGCGCTGAGTTCCAGACATTGTTATGGCTCGGCTGTTGTCGTCGTTGCAGCGATTGGACACGGGTCACAACCCGAATGCTTCTCGAGCTAGCAATTGTCACGAGCCCAAGTTCGAGTGCCCACGCAATGCTCGGGTCCAATCTATGAACCGCATTCAAATATCGTCACTTGGGTGTACTGCGATCCCCGAGTTACGTCATCAAATTTTGCAAAGGAGAGATTGAATGAAAATGATCGCTTTTGTCCTTGAAATTACACCGTAACAAGGGAGTTTCTTGGCCAGTGGCGTTGGGTGTGAGTATCCTTGAGTCCCAGGTGTGCCAGTAAGCTCGTGTAGAGAGAAAAACATTCCAATTGAATATCGTTGCACAGCTCCTTTAAACGCCTGTCACCCGTCATACCTAAGTAACTGAAAAAGAACAGTGATCATATCCCACTCGTCTGCGTCCTAATAGGCGTCCAACTCGGTTAGAAAATCTCGGCGCACCTCCCGCACTTGGTAGCTACGACCGGATAGTAGCTCAATATCGTAACGTGATAAGCGAAGCACTTTCACGTAGCCGAATTGAGGTAAGAGATCTTCACTATCTTCAGTTTTAATTTAACGTTTCGAATAACCATGTTCCTCGCACAAGCTCCGAGGCCTGTACGCGTGGAATGCCCAATTCGGCTTCTTGAAAGTAGTAGTTCCATACGACGGTGTAGATGTTCTTTTACAACGCCTACACACATGTAGATGTTACACATGCTTACTGAATTCGCGGGACACGGGTCTACTTACCATCTCTGAGGGCTGTAGGTGCGACGACGAAGATAACAGCGGGGAAAGGCGTCATCAAGACTTTGAACGCAAGGAAAAAATCCACGGTGAACCGTTACAACATGGCGCCGGGACGTTTGTAAACATACTCTCGTTACCGTGCGCTGGTTCCCCGGTTTCGAAACAAAAATACGTTTAGCATAGTTAAAATTATTTTCGCAACGTAGATAGCTTGATCATTTGAGTATATATATTGCCATTTTTTTAAGTTAAATTGAGAGCTTAATGACTTCGCAATGAAGCACACTCTCATACTCTCGCAGATCAGCATAGGTTTGCTTCACCGAAAGACACCGCTGTATTGCAGGGAAAGGTGCTCGCTGGCATTTGCACAGGTGAAAATGTCCTGTCCAAACACCCCTTCCGACAATACAGTAAATATGCACTGTTAAGGTACTGGTTGTGGGGGTGGCTTGTCTGTGGCCAGAAAGGCACACAGGGTCAGTTAAAAATGATTATTATGGGATAAAAATAATGGAAAGCAGCCTCAGATGAAGTAAAGGCACTAACACGACAAAACAACGGATGACCTTCAAGTGTAGTTTATTTTATGAAAAGGAAGCATTTTAGTCTTATTACATTAACACAAACACGCATGCCAACCAGGCAGCTGGCAATCACAGGGATAGAGCCTTACAATGTGGCAGTGCTAAACTCCAATTTATGAATAAAGATTTTTTTTTTTTTTTCACTTCGTTTTGTAGCAGACGCTGTTTTCCATCATGATTAGTTTCGCTCTTACCAACTAGCCCAATCTACCACCCTACTTCAGCTCATTATGGGGGACTAGTTACACTTGAAGGATCTGCAATGGCAAGATGAATGCTAGCGAATTCATTTCATTGCCAGAAAATTGATGGTGTTGTCTCAAATGGTAACAATGCACGCTCATGAATGAACTGCGTGAGACCATCAAAGTGCGGGCAGTGACTCTACTTCATATCTGGGGACTGAAAACAACTGCCTCGGTCTACTTTTAGAGAGAACCATAGCGGTGGTCAAGGAACCGGTACAGCAACACGAGCCCAGATTACCTATAATATGTAGGTCTTCCATTCCCTTTGTAACAATATACAGGACACCAGATTTTGGGTCAGTACTTGTATTTCAGCATCGAAATACACGTAAAAATATATTCCTGGTCTCGCAATACATTCAAGGGAATAATGTATCCCATTACATTTTCAACTGGGCTTGCCATGTCATCGTCCCAACTACCGAAATAGTTATCTTCTCCAAATGCTTCATCAGCTTGCACAAGCAGCTGACACCAGTTGAGAACAAGCTAAAAGGTTGTGAGGAGATACTTCGTAAAATGGCAGGACGGCGGCTTGTGATACTACAAAGCCAGTTTCCTTTAGACAATATAACATAAGGTTATCATATCAACCAAGTATGCCTCCACTCTGTAGCCCTCGAGCTCGGTCGGGGATGCCAAGTTTCTTTGCTTTGCAGTTGCACGCTCGCACAAAGCTCCACCGCTTCGCCCGACATGCTTGCATGAAGCTTCATACTTTAACACTACAGCACTACGGCAAAGCATCTTAATTTTTGTAGGGGGGGGGGGGGGGGGGGGGGGGGGGGCTCAACATTTTGCAGACCTATTTTCAGACTTCGAAAATATTCAAAATTAACGAATAATCCCATTCGATTCAAAGTATGAATCGAATACGGCATTATTCTATTCAATATTTAAAAGTTATGAATATTTGCACAACCGTGGTCTTCAGCATTATTTACAATTTACAAGGAAGCTGGTATCATGTCTACATTTCACGGGATCTTCCGGGGTCTTTTGTTCAAATCGCGATTATAAACTTTTCGACTTTGACCCAATGGAGACTAGCCATCTGCACACTCCGCAAGGACAATTCACTGAGGCGGTCATTGGCCATCATTGATCGAAGTCTGTGTTATGTCAATTTGGGCCTACTGAGAGAGTGTTCACCCCTGAAGTTTGCAACCATAACAAAATAAAAATCTAAAATGGGTACATGAACACCTAGAAATGAGCCTCGAAGCTTTTCTCAGACCTGGAATGTTTCTTACAGAAGCCTTCCTTTTTGGCAAATAAAAGAAACTGTTCTAGTTCATCGGGGAAATCGTCCGACAGACCAGATTTATCCATTGCCTTGAATCACCACTGTTTCAACGAAAGTGTGCCGTGGTCAGCAATAAAAAGTAAACTGTAGGCAGACTTTGCTGTAAGCAGTGAAACGAGTTTTAAGTGAATGCAGAAGGTTGTCAATCATGCCAATATTGGTATCACAGTGGAAGTTCAGTGAGGCATCTTGAGGGTGAAGGTTGCCATTTGTGCCGATCGGTTTGCTTTCTTTTGATTGTTGCTTTGTATGTAGTTCCCAATGTTTCCTTCGCTGCCTGTTTCATTTCACTGAATCTTTCTCTTAGACCGGATACATAATCACTCAATAATTTCGTCAGGTTTACAGCTTCATTCAATGTGAGCGTCTGATTATGTAGCGTTCTTCTGATGGCATTGAAGCATTGCAACACCCTGTTCATGAACTAAGCTACAACTGTTGCAGTCATACCCGTAGTCTTCGACCATAACCCATGTCTCTGCTAGTTCTTCCTAACCTTCAGACCCTCAAGGCGACCCTAATTTCCTGAGCGAACAGAGCTTCATAGCATCCGCTCGGGCTGACCACCACGTGTCTTGGAGTCGCATGGGCATGAATACCGTATCAATCCGTTTCAAATCAAGCCTGCAGAATGTTCCGGCGAAGGGTAGACGCAGAAAAAAAATTTATATACGCTGTACGCAATGGTTAACACAGACCACTCTGAGCATTCTGTGTCGAGCGCTCTCGTGCCAATGCCAGCTGCTTTTGATTCAGCGATGGCCAGGGGTTGTGATCAACCTGGCCGTGTTCCGAAATTTACCCAATCTCACTTTAGAGTAACATTTTCATACCTTGGTGTTCGAAAACCTTTTTGCATCCAGCGTTGCTCAGCTTGAAATGTCACGTGATATGACCCGCAGGAGTAGCTGGGATCCAGTCGAGTAAGGTTTGGAACACGCCCCCTGTCAGGGGGGGATCCCCTCACAGAGGGCCCTATTCATTTGAGCAGTTAAATATGGGTAATCTGGGCTTGCCCCTGAAGCGAGAAAAGGAATATGGTGAAATGCTGGCCTGTTACATGCAGGCGCCAATTGTTCCGTTTGATTTTAATGCATTATCCGGTACCTTGACTCAATCTTTACAAACAAGTGTTCTCAAACTTTCTGGTGACAAGGAATCCTAGCAATCTTCAAAAGGTGCTGCACCAAGCACGTCATGCTTCGCACCATCGTGCTCACAAAAGTTTCAGTGCTTTGCTCCGCCACGCATGCATCACGCTTCACCGCTATACACCGGTGCGTTGCGGCGGTGTATAGCGGTGAAGAAATACTTTGAAAATATTTAAAGTTGCCGAATACTCCTCACCAATTCAAAGTGCGAGTAGAATATGGCGTCATTCGCTTCAATATTCTGAATTTTAGAATATTTGTACAACCCTAAAATATGTCGTAAAGTAACGCTCAGGCACCCTCTACAAATCCGGAGATCATCGCAAAAAAGTGGGAGATGGGCACTTGATATGCTATCAATGTTATCTATATTTCCACTGTCCATATTTTTTTAGATGTTACAACATTCAGGGGGTGGGCGCTTAGTGTGGAATCGGCAGATGCTCGGTATTTCATGGTATACATAGCATTTGAGTACAAATATACAGTTCCTCACTTTCCCATAAAAATAATGAAATATATATTTGGGTGCTTGCGGAATCCAAAAGATCAGCCTATGGAACCCGGTTTGGGAACCCCGGGTATGTAATCTGCACCAGTCTGTAAAGAGCTTCTCAAAGCAATTTTTAAGAAAATAAAACTGAACTATCTAGAATGGCCTAAGCTGAAAAAGGCTTCCAAATATTCTGTTTGTAGCATTCATAATTAGGTACTGAACTTTTCGCTTGATGCTTTGATTGACTTTGTTTCTTCTTATGGGAAAAAGTGCACATCAACAATGACACTCAGCGACATGGTTCGCAAGCTACCCAACCAATGGTGTGCAAGCTTCTCTATCAGGGACATCGCCAAGTGAAGGCGAGAAGTGGCGGGCGCCTCCCCTAAAATTTCTTCTGCCGCCTCAAGATGAAGCCGCTTTGTAAACAAATAATGGCCTATGACGTCGGCTTGAAAACCCAGTGTAACGAGTGTCCAGACTTTAGAGCCGTTTATACCTTTTATTATTATTATTTTTTTTTTCTATTAACTTCCAGCCACTGCAAGTCGTACCGTGGGCGAGTAAGCTATCTAGCGCCTTAGAAAAAGCAGCTCCCCTTTGTGACGCCTGCTGGCTTTTCTCTCCGCATTCCGCTGTGTGGCGCTTATCTTCAGCGGAGACCGGAGACGTGAACGAAGGGGAGCTTAGTTAAAGTCGAGGTCATGAGGAATTCCGGACTGTCTAAGAAAAAGAAGCAAAACCTGGTTGTGAGTCATGAGCACAGGGGGCAGAGGTCAATGCTGTAATAACCCCCCCTCCCCCCCCCGCCCCTTCCTTCTCGTGTCTCCTCATTTCCCTTTTCAATGAGCACACTGCATAAGCTATAAGCTATCTTCGATAAGCCCGTGGGCGACGGCACCTCAGAGCAACCCCCCCCCCCCCCCAATTTGGTTGGCCTCCCCACTGCCCCCCCCCCCCCCCCCCCCATTCTGAAGATCCTGGCGCCATCCCTGCCCCCTATAGTTAAAATGGTATTAAAACAGCACAAAAAAAAAAAAAAAAACGAAGAGAACACAGACACAGCACTCAAAACTGAAAATATTTCTTCTGCATGGTACAGTAAGTAAACATAAAAAGAAGCAGATAGATACCATTTCAAAATGACCAACCAACTAGCCCAACTACACAATTTGTTGCAGCCCTTCTATGGCCCTGAATTCGTTCCTTACCATGAGAAAAGTGATGATGTTTCAAGCATCTCTGCAGATCCCTTTATTTCTAAAGCCATTTGGCATATACCACAAAATCCTGAGGTATGTACTTCCCAGTCAGCAACATTCACTTGTATCCCGCCACAGCTCACTAGCTACATTTGTGCCAAGGCCATCACTGATCCCAACACTACTATTACTAGAAGTGGGCTATCTTTCAGAGTTTAAAAAAATAAAGCAAATCAAGCCAAAAATAGGAGTGGGCTACCTTTTGAGATTTTACAGTAGAGCATTATGACACATCAAAATGCAGGCACTGAGATGCTCTTTAGAAATAAACAAACTGAATTAATGCATCAGAAAGGTTCTTGTAGGAAAGCTCTTCATTCTAGCTCATATTGGCTGGGATTGCACATAGGGGAAAAGGGACACTAACTGCCAAATTCACAAACCTTTATTCCAATGGAGGCACCCCCCCCCCCCCCCCCCCCCCCCACTTCTTCAAGGAAGGCACAAGGGACGGCACTGGCCAATCGCGAGGACAGCTAAACAGCCTAGGCCGCCTATCCGTCGTCGCGACTGGCCAGCACCGGCCCTCGCACCTTCTTTGAGGAAGTGGAGGGGCGCCTCAATTGGAATGAGGTTTGTGAATTCGGCGGTAACTTAGCTAGCGCTAGGGTCCGGCAAATTGGAGACGTACACCTGCCCACTGGCCACAGGCTCCACCTGTGGACTTTGAAACGTCAGAATGGGGCACACCACCCACCAAGGAAAGACTTACCATAAAGTTTTGCGAGTGCCTTGCAGAGCGCAAATGCAAGGCGCTGGATGCCGCTGACATGGCAGGCGTTGTACTGGTCGGTAGCCAGCTTGTCGAGGTTGACAATGTTGCCTCGGTTGAGGAACAGGTGCTGAAACATCAGCGAATGAATTAATTAATAGCATAAAACAAAGCTGGGTTGTGACCACTCCTTGGAACCACACAGGACAGACGTGTCTAACTTGGAAGCAGTCGATAAACTTTATAGGTTTAGGTAGGGGTCAGTATTTTAGACCTAATTGTGCAGCTATTTTTTTGTGTGTGGATGTGTGCGTGCAGGGGGTGGGGGTTGTTAACTCATTGCAAATGTTTTATGGGGCTGGTTGCTCATTATTGGGGCCCACCTTCGTTTAGTCAGGGGAGGATCTAACTGTAAACACAGACATTAAGGTGCAGTACTTGGGCTCGCCTTCCGAGTTAAATTTCTGTTTTCCTTCGGTACCGGTTCTCGTGTGCCGAGTTCACTGTGATTTTAAGAAGTGATTTGGATAGTTTCTTATCAAAAATGTTTCAGAACTTCCCAATGCATAGAGGCAGTTTCAAACTCTGTCAGGGTTTAAAACTGCCTTCTATACATGTTACTTTCACAAATGGTATACTCTTTTTTAATCTATCTTGTTATATTCCTGACATAATTACCTATTTTTTGGATTTTCAAACTTTCAAGGAACTTACTGTCTACAACTGTATCCATCGCTGAGTGCTTATAAAAGAACAGGTGTAACAGAATACATTTCACTGAAAAAGAAAAAGATAAATTTTCTGGTGTATATTAACTGATAAAAACCAAATATTGGATTTCGAAATAAAAACCGATAAATGTATGCCGAATTCGAAAAAAAAAATAAAAACCGAAAACGCTATCTTGTTCACTGTTTTCAAAGTTAATTTTTTTTGCTCAAATTTGGGGGTATTTCTTTTTCGGTGTCTAATTTTTCCCACAGATTCTGTGTTTTTGTGTAAATTGGTTGAAGTCATAACCAATTTACACACAAAAAAAAAAAAAAAAACGAATCTGCACAAAAAGTTACTTCCCCCCCCCCCCCCCCCCCCCAAAAAAAAAAATTCGAGAAAAAAAAAATGCTCAGAAAACACAGAACCCAAGTTATCGGTAGGTTGTGACTTTCCAGTTTTAACCTAAAAATACTGAGAAACATCCGCCGATGACGAGAATGCAAAATCGGTTATAACAGAAAAACAGTTTTTGGGGACGATTTGGCGCTAGGCGATTATTATTTTGGTTGAAATCCCCGAATTCTAGGCATTTGCTGAGCCTGTTTTGCTACCTAGAATTAAGCAAATTGGGATCTCCAATCAGTGGGATCGCTGACCTTGGAGGACAAGAGCCCGAGAGGTCAGTCAGACGGTTACTACCAACAGTCACAACGCCCTTGTTGATTCATGTCAGAGGACGGCAGATAAGGAAGCAACTTGTCCCAAACCAATTTTTTTTTCACCGATCATCTCTGTTTTAGCATCTACATGAGACAACAAGTCGAAAGCAGGGTTGTGCAGTATCGCAATACAAATGTATTGCAATAGTATTTCAGAAATACATTTAGTGTCTGCAGTTCTGTATTGCAACACTTTTTTTTTCACCAGTATCTGTATTTCTGTATCGAAATGCATTTGGGATGTTTCTTGGTACCGCAATACAATCAAGATGGGATGTATTTCGTTACACTTCTTGAGAAATAACCCCCACCTCTGGATAAAAAAGATGACAACTTTTTTCTTTTGCTAGAGAAGGCCAGAGGGCATTATGAGGGGTATGTTGTGCCTTTGCTATCATGCGAACCTAGGTTTGACCGGAACTATTTGTGTCGGATCTTAGCAACCCCTTTCTCTATTCTGCAAAACTGAAGAATGTTTTCCACCATGCTTCTGCCCCCCCCCCCCCCCCCCAAAAAAATCTGGACGTCTTCTTTTTTTTTTTTTTTTTTAAGGGGACGTTGGGGCATTGTTACTATGCTGACCAAGGTTCATTCCAATTCCCAGAAATAAATATTTGTCTATGCGACCTCTTCTCTATTCTGCGAAGATAAGAAATGTGCTGTGAGTGGCACATTTCTTAATGAAAAAATGTGGTTCCCAGCTGTGAAAGCAATGTTTCTTTGATTTAATATGAACCTGTATTCCTCAACAACTGTTGAGCAGCTATTTTTTTTTTCTTTTGCCAACATGACGTTGCGTTTGAATGGGCAACGGCTCACAGGTGGGCTATTTGAGAAGCTCCTGCTCCTCAAGTGTAACTGAGTTTAGCACTTGCATGTTTTTCTTTTGTATCGCTTCAGTGTAAAATAACAGACAAAGCAAGAATGATTTTTATTGCACCTCCCAACTAAATTGTTGCCTATGATATGACAGTTCGCACCTCAAGCAAATTGGAAAAATGTATTTCAATATCTGTATTTCTGCCATCCCTAAGAGGTATTCCTGTATTTGTATTTACAAATATGTTTTGCTCCTTGTTAAAATGTATTTCCGATGCATATCACAATACAGTTTTACATATATATTTTAGTATCACTATTTTAGCTATTTTTATGTACCCCAGCATTTGTATTTCCGAGTACATTAAGTATTTTGACCCAACCCTGGTCGAAAGACACCAATGTTTGAAAAATAAATAAACAATGAAAAACATCCGCCGATTTTTCTCATAAACAAACACCGGGGGATATACGGCCTAGTTATAGGTTATTTATATTTACTAAGTAAAAATATTTTGGGTGTGTTTGTGGTATAAAAATACAATCAAAACCCAATGTAGCTCCTTAATGTTTTCAATTAATCAACAAACTAGAAACAAAAAATAAAGCCTTTTTTTTTTTTTTGCTTTAGATGACTGGAGACTGTTGTGAAGAGGCCACCGAGGCTTTGGTACCTTGCGGACCAGGATCTGATCAGAGCATTTTGTCTTTGTCCATGAGGACCCTCAGGGTGTAATTAATTGATCATGTAACCTCTTAACGGCTTATGATAAGCTCAGCTTGCCATGAGTTATGTGCCATTTTGTGGTTTATGACGCGTGCACCTCATCATGTACTGCTTTGTGCCTTTTGCAAGGTTTGCAACAAGGTCAGTGAATAAAAACAGTGTGAATTATCTTTATGATAGAATAATAAATAAAAGAAACTGTTTCGTATAAGGTCTGCTTAAAAAATGTAAAGCATTATAAGATTAATCAACAGGCGATGCTATTTTCTATTTTAAAAGAATAACAAATGTTTTCCTTGAAACTTCATCTAGATTCTGAACATCTAAAGGCCCGTTCACACTCTTGCGACTGCTTGCGACCTCTTAAACCTGGGTTCCTTAAAACTTCTTAAACCAGAGAACACACTGGCGCCATCTATTGGGAAGCAGTGTAAACTCGGCGGTCCGGCATATTTTTTTTTATTTCTCGTGCAATATCCTTTCTTTTTTGGCTAGAAAAACTTTTGTCAATGTTATAAACGAGCCTTTCTATGGGTATTACGCACATTTGACCTCGGAAATCCCGCAAAACCTTCGCTTTTGTGAAATGCAGTTCTAGGGTCACCGCATAGGTGGCGCCACAATGTCAGTGTGTTCCCTCGTTCTAGAAACATTTAAGAAGTTGTAAGAGATCTCGTCTCTCTCAGTCGTACTCGGTTGCAAGAGTGTGAACGGGCCTTAAGGCACTGCAAGCACAAACTTTACAGGTGTGCTCTGCACTTTCGTGCCATATCGATGGATGGGAGCAGAGTTTATGCTTTCAAATACTATCAATAGATAAGAGAACAGCGATTCCTTCCATTGTGACGTCACTAGATCATTACTGAAAAGGCGACCTCACCAAATCAGAGCATGGAGGCACCTCAAGATAATTTAGGAGGACCAAAAACTGATGTGGAGATGAAGTTGGCATTAACAATTGTGCAAGCTGGTTGACCATAGTAAAAGAAGCAATGCGTAAAGCATGGACAAAGATTAGAAGACAAATAAACCACAGAACACCATTTTTATCGGCACCTGTCGAGAGCATATTTACAGCCGCTAACATAATGCTCCACGGCCCTCCGCCCAAATCGACAGGTGCTAACTGATTGAACATCATTCACTTGAAAAGCTCATCCACAAATGCAAGTGAGTTTAGCAATTGTTCTTTTGGTCTGTGTTGATTGCATACTATATGTAAAAAGTAATATACATGGCTGGAGTGATCTTTCTTGATATCGTTAATACCTGGTTGTCAATAACACAGAAGACGACATTTACAATATCTCAAAGTATGTATAACGTGATACCAATAGCGGAGCTAGCTGTAGAATTCTCTGGAAAGAGTGGCACCTGCACAAGGCAAGCTTGAAGGTTCTGTCAAACTACATTAGTGATGGGTGTTGCCTTGTAGAATCGAAAGGTGCAGCTTTGTTTTTGCAAAGCATTAGCAACCTGTGTCAGGACCGCATATGGCCGAAAGCAATGTTTGGTGCTTCTGTTGGGAGATGGAGCAACGTGCTGCAATTAGAAAAAACCGTGATGGCGAGTCCGACGAGGCTGAAGATAATCTTGCTGTAACACAGCTTTCTTCTAATATTTTCACGGACGTCGCTGAGCGAGCGCGTACGTGGCCAAATGGTTACTGCACTTGATTGTAGCGCAGAAGATTTGGGTTTGATTCCAGGCAGCGGAATGTTCTTTTATTTATTCTTTCTACTTGGCGTTCTCGCAAATTCGAGAAATTGCTTGTTTGGCCGAGCTACGAATAATCTACGCACCGAAATGTCTAGGCCGAATGTTCCAGAGACCCACGCAGCTACAAAAGGGACTCCGCATGGCGAGCGAAGTCAGACTCTTCCCAGCGCTCAATCCTGCTGTTTTGACGCCTGCGACGCTAGCCGTTCTCTATTTTGTTTTGGGCACAAGTTCGCCCCATTAAACATTTAGTTTCTTCAGTTATTCGCCGCCTCACCATTTGTTATTCGTGACAATATAGCCATGCACGCAGAGATGAAAGCCACAACAGAAAAACGGAATTGGGGTCGAGACACCCTGCCGTAGACCCGTTGCTCAACAGTGCGGTCTACTTTCCGTGATGTGCTCTGCCATCTCTCAACATGAGAACGAAACACAACCCTCAGCTGTCAACATCAGCATTCATAACTGAAAATCTTGCATATATTCTTCCGATTTTTCGCACAAACAAATTAGTGCCTTTAACTTTCACATGGTAACATCCACCACTGCAATACACCTGTGACAAAATATGAAGCTTGCTACACCCGGACTATAATTTTTTGCTTCATTTTATAGCAAACCCCGCTACTGTGGCAACCTACATTTTAATATCTGTTTTGTTTCATCGACAGACATCTCATCGACAACTTTTAGTCAAACGACATATTGACATACATTTCGTCGACACCAGGGGCAGATGCAGGAATTTCCTGAGGGGGGGGTCAGGTGTCGGTCAGCGTCCCATATGTTTAGGGACCCCCTCCCCCTCTCCTTCGTTTTACGCCCTAAAATTTACACAAGCAGAAATCAAGAGGGGGGTCAGGACATCCGGAACCCCCCTCTAAATCCGCCCCTGGTCGACACTGACATGCCATCGACAATCGTTACGCTAACTGTACGATGTTGTGATGTTTCGTTGTGTGTGTCACTGGGGCATGCATTAACTTACCCGGCCCGCCCGTCTACATCATTTGCAGCGACCGTCTGTGGCGGCTCACTACAGAAATATTAACACACCAGG